CCCGCTGTGGAGAATGAGATCTAGGGATTAAGATTGGATCTTGGGAGGAGTGGGGACTTGTCTCTTGGGCTGGGGGGGATGATCCGATAATGAGGAGGTCGAAAAGGGTGTGGGATTGACGTTGGGGGTAGGGATCGGCGAGCTGAAAATGGGAGCTTGTTGAGTGACCGGGTGAGTGGTGAGGGATCGACGGGGGACTACGAGGTAGGGAGAGAGTATTGTCTGATGCAAATGAGCTGATGCAATTGCTTTGTCTCAATGGCATCGTCAATATTGTTTATTTGTATCAAGGCTTATATCCAGTGCCCTTTACAGCACACTCAAGCAAGGGGATTGAGACCAAGACAATATTGTACATAGACATCAACCCAATATCAGCCCTCCAAACAGAACAAACCACTTCATTTTGTCTCTCCCATCTCCGCACCCTTTTCCCAATGAGGACTTTCAGCTCTGCATAAGCGACCACTCACACCGTGCTGATTATCAAGTGTCTCAGTTGAAGGGGACCACGCTAAAAAAGCTTAGGGTCAGATTTTTTGGAAATGCCGTAGTCGATCAGCCCTGTTTATGTTACTTAGTCTGCCGTATTGGGACGGGTTCAGCTTAGCCCGGGTCGGTCCGCTATCGACTTTTGCTGGGCTTAGTACGTAAGGTGATGGTCAGCTTGGGAAGAATTGGATTGGAGAGGGAGTGACATGACGTGAATTGAAGGGGCTGAAGCCACGACATCATGCGAGCATCGATATCATTAACTCTTAGAGGGAGTGATGCAGGTAGGTACTTAGCTGCATGTGCATTGACATTGTGTCTCAGAGGCAAGGCAAAGATCTCAGACATGGCGGAGAGATCTACTGTGCCCTCACTTACAAATACGCTTGTCGCCAATGGCGCTGTAGATCCATGGACCTCCAAGGGTGATTGACCTTCTTTTGGGGCTAGGAGGGCGTCCTGCTCCGCGTAGGTCTTGTTCAACGACGTCTGGTTTGTCAATCTCTGTGTTTTATTGGTTTATTGGGGTGACCGGAGGCTTGGAATGCCGTGTCGTGGGAGATTGTCTCTGTACTGTGTTGCAGCTTGCATGTGCTCGAGACAAGAGACAAGATAAAGAGGCGTACGTCCACCCTCCCAGCTCCCCTCTCCCCCGCTCCCAATTTTCTTACTGTTCTCGTTGAAGCTTCTCATCTGATATTTTTATTTTGAAGCTTGAGCTATGGCGGAACAAAAGAACGGGGTAGCTACAAATGGCTACGAGAAGCAAGCTTCTCCTGCTTCGTCCTCTACCAAATCTGAAGCTAAGCCTCTTCCCAACGGCGATAAGAAAGATGGTATCGTCAAGAGCTTCAAGCAACTCCGCGTCGCGAGTAAACGACCGCTCCCCAAGGAGATGGGCGATGGGTCGTATCGCGTTGTGGACAACAGACCGGGTTTGAGGGAGGATATTCGACGTCTTCGGGGAAGAGGTATGTTGACAGTCATTGTGAGGGTACTTGGTGAATGGAGCTGATGAAAGTAGACCTCAAGACTCTGCTTGAGATCGTCAAGTCCAAAGTCAAGGGTGAAACTCAACAGGACGACAAGACCATGATCATGGAGCGCACGATTCAGCTCGTCGCTAATCTGAGCGATCACTCCAAGGTACAGGAGTCTTTGACGAATAGTTTCATCTCGCAGCTTTGGAACTCGATTGATCATCCGCCTATGCTGTACATGGGAGACAAGTTTCGGTTCCGACAGCCTGATGGTTCCAACAATGTAGGTCTTCACTCTACCTGATGCTAGTGTGATGGGTACTGACCATGTAGAACCCGTATCTTCCTCAATTGGGCGCCGCGAGAACGCCCTACTCTAGAACCGTTCGTCCAAAGGGCATGAGTCTCGGTGCGCAGCCTGATCCTGAGGCTATCTTCGAGAGTGTCTTTGCCAGAGACGCCTTCAAGAAGAATCCGAATAACGTGTCAAGCATTCTTTGGTACTGGGCTACTATTATCATTCACGGTAAGCTCCCTCCATTCACCTTACGTCTCATCAATTGACTGACTAACTTGCGCAGACCTCTTCTGGACAAACCTCCAGGACCCTAACCAGAACGACTCCTCCTCCTATCTCGACCTCGCCCCTCTCTACGGCTCAACTGAGAAAGACCGCGACTCAATCAGAACCTTCAAAGACGGCCAATTGAAGCCCGATTGTTTCGCTGATAAGCGTCTCATCGGTAATCCACCCGGTGTCCCCATTCTTCTCATCATGTTCAACCGCTTTCACAACCATGTCGCCACGAACCTCGCAGACATTAACGAGGGCGGCCGCTTCTCCAAACCAGCTGAGCATCTCTCCCCCGAAGCTGCAGAGGCTGCTTGGAAGAAGCGTGACACGGAGCTCTTTGAAACAGCGAGACTTGTCACGAGTGGGCTGTACATCAACATCACGCTTATTGACTATGTGAGAAACATCATCAATCTGAACAGGGTTGACACAACGTGGACTCTTGATCCGAGACAGGAAATGGGCGTTAGCGTGGGTACAAAGGACCTGTCTGAGAGCGGCACTGGAAACGTCGTCTCTGCTGAGTTCAACCTTTGCTATCGCTGGCACTCGTGTCTCTCGGAGATGGACGACAAGTGGGTTCAGGATTTCTACACTGAGCTTCTTGGCGAGAACTACGGGCCTATGAACTTGCAGACTATGATGAAGGCGCTCAAAGCGTTCGAGGCTAGTGTCGCTGATGAGCCGAGTGAGAGAACGTTTGGCGGCTTCAAGAGAGGCCCTGATGGCAAGTTCAACGACGATGAGCTCGTTGAGGCACTGGCTACGGCTATTGAACAACCTGGTGGTGCGTTCGGCGGACGCAATGTCCCACGCATCATGAAGCCCATTGAGATGTTGGGTATCATGCGTGGGAGGAAGTGGAACTTGGCCGGGTTGAATGAGTTTAGGAAGCATTTCGGCCTAAAGGCGTATGAGACGTTTGAGGATATCAACTCTGATCCCTCCGTCGCTGATGCCCTGCGCAACTTGTATCAGCACCCTGATTACGTCGAGTTGTATCCCGGTATCGTCGCTGAGGAAGCAAAGACTCCCATGGTTCCAGGTGTTGGTATCGCTCCGACGTACACCATCTCTCGAGTCGTCCTCTCCGATGCCGTGGCGCTGGTCAGAGGTGATAGGTACTATACCACCGACTACAACCCTCGCCACCTGACGAACTGGGGCTACAAGGAAGTTGACTACGATCTCAAGATCAACCACGGCTGCGTCTTCTACAAGCTTTTCCTCCGTGCATTCCCACAGCACTTCAAGGGCAACTCGGTCTACGCCCACTACCCAATGGTGATCCCCTCGGAGAATAAAAAGATCCTCACAAACATCAAGCGCGCAGACCGCTTTGACTTTTCGCGTCCTGCACCCACAGCCACACGCATCAACATCATTGGGTACAACGCGGCAAAGTACATCCTCGAGGATCAGCAAAAGTACCGCGTCTGCTGGGAAGAAGGCCTCAAGCACCTCATGGGCGAAGCGGGCGGTCGCTTCAAGCTGTCGGGTGATACGCAGCTACACGCCCAGCAGCGCAAGTGCATGGGTAAGCTCCTGTACAACGACACGTGGCGCAATGCGGTGAAGTCGTTTTATGCGACGACTGCTGAGAAGTTACTCGCCGAGAAGTCGTATAAACTCGCGGGCAAGACGCAGGTTGATGTCGTACGAGACGTGGGCAACGTTGCGCACACGCATTTCGTCGCGAGGATGTTCAACCTGCCGCTCAAGACGAGCGAGAACCCAAAGGGTGTGTTCTCGGAGCAGGAGCTGTACATGATACTTGCTGTGATCTTTGTGTGCATCTTCTTTGACATTGATCCGGCCAAGAGTTTCCCGCTTAGACAGGGCGCGAGAGAGGTTGCGCAGAAACTTGGTGGTATTATTGAGATGAATGTCAAGTTGGCGAATAGCATTGGTGTCAAGGGTTTGTTTACCAGCAAGCCGGATAAGAATGATGATCCGCTGGCGAGGTATGGTGAGAACATGGCGAAGGGGTTGAAGAAGGCGGGTTTGAGCACGGAAGATATTGTCTGGAGTCAGATCCTTCCTACGGCTGGTGCTATGGTGCCCAACCAGGCTCAAGTGGTAAGTCAAAGACCCTTGTCTTCAATTGAATGAGTCAAGAGTGCTAATGGGTTAGTTTGCGCAAACACTGGACTGGTATCTCTCCCCAGCAGGCGAGAAATACCGCCCCGAGCTAGCCCGCATCGCCGCCCTGGAAACAGGCGACGAGACAGACGCTCTCCTCCTCGGCTACGCAATGGAAGGCATCCGCATGGCCGGCACATTCGGTCTCTACCGCGAAGCCACAGGCCCCGACACGATCCACGAAGACGACGGCCGCAGCATCCCCGTCAACGCCGGCGACCGCGTCTTTGTCTCCTTCGTCCAAGCAGCCCAAGACCCCAAGATCTTCCCCAACCCTGGAGTCGTGGACCCGAAGCGTCCGCTGGATAAGTACATCCACTACGGCGTCGGCCCGCATGCCTGTCTCGGTAGAGATATCAGCCAGGTTGCGCTCACGGAGCTGTTTAGGGCGGTGTTTAGGAAGAAGGGTGTTAGGAGGGTTCCGGGCGCGCAGGGTGAGTTGAAGAAGGTTCCGAGACCGGGGGGTTTCTTTGTTTATATGACGGAGGATTGGGGAAGTATATGGCCGTTCCCTACTAGTATGAAGATTACCTGGGATGAGTAGGTGATTGGTAGTTGTGGTTGTAGTTGTAATGAGGATGAGGTGATGTAACGGAGAATGGGTATAGTTAGATTGTAGGTAATTCACTTTGTTGCTCCGAGATGCCTATTGCACTGTTCTTCAACTCCTCGGGCTGTTCTGGTATTGTATTGTTCCTGGTGTAGATGAGACAGACACTGCGCTTACAGGGCGGGTAGGAGGATATCTAGTGGCACTGGGGGCTCAATTAGTGAAAAATACATGGTATTAAGTAATATCTAACCAAGCTAAGTTAGTCGCACCATATCTGCACCTTGACCCCACGTAGACCCTTCAAAACTCCCAACTCCATAGCGACCTGTCGAAAAGCCACAACAATCATGTCAAACTCCTCCAAACACTCCTTATTCCAACTTTCCTCGGGAAACTTCTCAAGACGAGGAACTTGCGACTGGCACACAAGACTGTCAGCAAACATAACATCCCCCTGGCCCAGGCGCTGGAGCTCCGAAGCCAGCGCAAGGCCGGGCGAATTGACGAGATGCGACTGGCCGGCCTTGAACCCTATGCCGACGATAAGCACGCGCTTTGGCACGAGTATTCCAGAGTCGCTCTGGCGTTCCTCAGTATAGAGCTCGTCCAGAATACGAAGGGCTATTCGTTTGGGCCGCTGATGCATTCTATCTGCTGCCTGTTGCAACAGCGGAAAGTCATTGTTGAGGAGGAGATAGTGGGGGTTGACGGGGATGCAGTGACCACCGACTCCTAGACTTGGGGAAAACGGCATGTAACCAAATGGCTTGGTTGATGCGGCCTTGCATACTTCAAAGGGATTGATGTTGTGGCTAATGCATGCATCTGCCATCTCGTTGGCAAACGCTATCCCCATCATCCGCTGACAGTTTTCGTAGAGCTTTGTCATTTCTGCTACTTCGGGGCTTGAAACAGGTATAACCTGGTCAAACACGCGTTGGTACAGCTTGGTAATGGAGCTTAGTGACCCAGGGGATATATCGTCAAGCCCAGAGACTACCTTGGGGATAGAATGCATAGGAGGCTCGGTACGGCCAGGGTCAATACGCTAGATGAGCAATCAGTTTCACTCAAATATTCGGTCAGGTGGGTTTACTAACCTCGGGAGACATGCCAACAAAGTAGCCATTTGACAAGGCAAGAGGTCCAAGTAGTTTGCGTGTCATCCCCACAGCCACTGAGCTCTCAACCACAATCGTCGACTGCGGCTTTGCCCACATCAAGAGCACTCCTGATATAGGAGAGATCAACAGATTTGTCGGGCAGGAGAAGAGTAGGGACGGACATCAAGAAGTGGGTTGCATGAGCAAGATCTGACTCTGATGTCGTAAAGCAAGTGTTGGGACGAGTGCAAAACTCACGAGCTACTTCTACAACTCGCTTCTGGCTGACGTTGAACCCGAGAACCGGATAGGCAGTGGAAAACGTAGACACTAGGCCTGTGCCTACGAATCCTATGCCAATGACGGCAACGAGTATGTCTTGTTTGCCGGCCAGAACTTGGTTGCCCTTCAGGGCAGGCTGTTCAATCTTGTGCGGCATGTTGACGGAGATGTAACGAGATGAAGAAGTGAATCTGAATGGATTTGGTTGATGTCTGGTTGGTAAATCTGCTTGGATTGAGATATATTGCCGTAAACATTGAGGCTATATATACTATCCAATTAGTCTGCATTGTCACATATGAGCTTTTGACCAATTACTCTATTCTCCATCTAGAGGCTACAATGCCTCCCGTGACGTGGTCTAGACCTCTGTCATTCTAATTCCGGTGATGTTCTGGAAATAGATGGCGTACAAAACAGGCTAGACTTGGGAATTAACCTCAATCAAAAACCCGGGCATCATATCATGGACTGGAATGCAGGCAATGGCATCATATTTGAACAAACAAGACGACGAGTGAAACAACTTCTAGGCTCTCACACGGCGCACCCTCCACCTCGACACATCATAGGAACAATGCATACTTGTTTGGATTCGGGTTCCTGCGTCTTGTGTCTCAGAGGACGGATCTTGCCGAAGCCAGGAACAGGTACCATTCGAGCGTGGCACATCCTGTCGAGTCCAGAACAAACGCAATGATGGCGCAAGTCAAATACTGGCAGACGGAGAGAGGCACGTTCATAGCCAAGTTCACTAATCAATACAAGGCGACAACCAAGATCGTCACGACTGCTTCTTGCAGCCGACGCCCTGCAATCACCCGTGGCATGATCTCAAGCCCACCTTACTTTGATTTTATCTTCTGTTTCTCTGCCGGAATCTGGTGACTTTCCAAGCTGGTGTCAGCAAAGATGCTCCCAAAGCCTTGCGAAATCACAGGAGAGACCACCGCCGACACTCTCTGCACAAACGGAAACCAACAACCTGTTCCTGACAGGGAAGAACATTGCCTCGGTAGTGGCATCGACAAACATATTGATGCTAGGGACAGGGTCTCGGGTATCTCAAACACTATATCCGTCCAGGGACTGGGCGTTGATGACCTTATGGGGAATGTCCCGCAGTCAGACAAGACTGATATGCTCGGCAGCCGTGGACTCACTGTTGAAACTTCAGGATATCCCGAGGTTGATGATCCCGTTGATCCAGCACGAGTCCTCAGTCGACAAGACCTTACCAAGCAGCGCATCATCTTCCTCGGTGCTATCCTCCTGCTCAACATCATCCTGGCCATCACCGCGATACTAGGAAAGGAGTCTAAGATTTCTCTAGCGATGATATACTTCATCAAGAGTAAAGACTTTCTTTCCTCCATCATATCCCCCATCGGCCTTGTATTTACCAAGGTGCAGCAGGCACTGTGGCCCCCAGACCCCGTTACACAGCGCTGGATATTATCACTGATACCAGCATACTCGGAAAGCGAAGAGCAAATCGTAAAAACCATATTCTCGCTCCGTGACAACGGTACGGAGCCTCACCGGCAGGTTATGGTGGTGATACTTGATGGGCAGCCCCGAGACATCAGGGGGAATATGACACGGGTCATCACCCAGCTCGAGAGAGCGTATATCTCCTTCAAGTGGAAAAGGGGAACATTGCGGATCATTGCTGGCTACATGGAAGACGTTCCCGTTATTGTTCTCGAAAAGCTCAAGAATGGCGGCAAAAAGGACTCCCTTATCCTATGCCATGATCTGTTCAATTATATCCGCCCCAACGCGCCGATTTGCACAAAGCTCCTAAGAGAAGAGATATGGAATCACATCTTACCATCTCTGCTGCCAGAAACTGATCAGTTTCAAGGCTTTGATATGGTGTTTTGCACCGATGCAGACTCCACGATTCACAAAGGTGCACTAGCCAAGCTAGCAAATGCTCTGTACCGCAACAAGAACGCCATTGCCGCCTGTGGCCTTGTTCTTGTGGAGTTGGAGCCAGGTTATGAATGGTCTGTTTGGAATTTATACCAACAATTCCAGGTATGTAGAGAAGATTTCCACATAGAATTGATCGCGTCAGACTAACAGCCCCAGTATACCTTTGGCCAGTACGTTCGCAGAAGAGCAGAGCACTACATTGGAAAGGTCACATGCCTTCCAGGCTGTATCACCATGATATCTGTAAGGGAGGAGATGGGAGGGGCTATCCAAAAGTATACAGAGCCCATCACGGGGGCCTTGGTGCTCTCACATCAAGTGCAGTACCTTGTGAGTCGACTCTTGATTGCATGCAACCCTTGGATCCGCCATATGTTCTGAGCTGACTGGTTTAACACAGGGAACAGATCGAAGACTGACCTACTCGATGCTTTCTCAAGGGCAGCACTTACACACGCTCTTTGTCCCTGACGCTGTGAGCGAAACAGTCGCTCCCCAGTCTATACAGCATTATCTCAGCCAGCGGCGCAGGTGGGGATCAAACGCCTACTTCAACAATTATTTCTATCTCGGCGGTGAAAGGATGATCTTGATTACAAGAATAGCAGCGACTATCGAGGTGGTTCGGTTGAGCCTTGTCTACTACCGAGTTCTCAACACCATCATGGTCCTCAAACGGGTCAGCCACGGAGTCCCCGTCTTGAAACTCATCCCGATGCTTGTCATCGGCCAGTTGCCCTCTTGCTGGTTCTTCTGCTCCGTTCTGATTGAGCGGGAGCTCAGATGCCGAGCACATAAGCTAGTACTAGGGTTCTGCATTAATAAATGCATTTCTCCCATAATGTCAATCATCATCTTTACAAAAGTAGCCATCAATCTTGGCAGTCAAGGTAAATCTCCGAAGAACCAATAAAGGAGAGACAGGCTCGCAAGCTAATCAGCTTTAGCATGGGGCATGTCAGGTGTAACTGCCTCTTCAGCGCCAGCAGCAGCTACTGCAGACGCCGGTGGTCTTACGGATAACAATATATTGAGCGCCTCTGCTGTGGGACCATTAGAGGCCCAATTCGATGCTGCAATTACTGCTAGCGTAAGTAGTATTGCAAGCTTCAGCGGTGTTAGTGTTGAATGTTAAGTACTTGATTGGATGTACAAATAGTAGACAATATATAGAGAGAGTTGGCGATGTAGCCACACATAGAGCGACACAACGAGTGTTTTATCTTACTGTATTACAATAAAAAGCGCCATAAAGTACACCAAAAAGAACGCAATAACCTTAAAATCGAGTTAACAGGTCATACGGCTGTTGTCTTGAACCTCAAGATCAAAGCAAAACAGGTGGTCTGAAATAAATGTAACATGCACGCACAAACACAAACACATAGAGACTAATCGACATTCTCGAACCCTATAGAATTATACTATTTAGACTACTTAAAGACCGCGGGAAGCGCCACACCTGCCAAAATATCTTGCTGATTGGTAGTTATGTTAGTATTAAAGAACTCAGTAACCACTCTGGTCCGTTCATCCCGCAGGAAATAATCATATCCTATAATAGCGCTACAGGGATTGACATAAACTGTCAGCGGCATCCGACCGTCATAGATAATATTCCACTAAAAGCAGCGTCAGTCCTGTAATGTGAATACCAGGGGATGAAAACCTACTCCAACGCCACGGCCGGAAAAGTCTCTCGTCACAGACCCAGTGAATACAGCGCCACCTTTGATGAGCATGTCCTTGGAGAACAGCGGAAAAGTGATGTTGTCATAGCCCCTAGACACCTTGGGGCAGCTTGCGTCGCTTTCAAAGCTGTTCATCGTGTGGTCAACTGGGATGATATCACGGAAAAGCCACATGAGCTGATGCGTGCCAGGCAAGCTTCGTAGTCACATTGTTGTCACGGAACGATAATGGAATAATTATGTGCGGATATGATCTGACGTTTGGCAAGCCATTGTCTGCCATGAGTTCTAGAAGTCTTCGACGGCATCGACACTACCGGAAACAATACCTTATTAGCCATATTCAAGTTTGGCATTCCTGAACATGATCCAAGGTACCGATTCCAGGCGTTTGTATTCACCCCAGGATCGATCTAGTCGGCTTCCATTATCATTCTTGACTCTAGATCTGAGGAAATTGATGATGTTGGGTCTAGAACAATCCCTGTCTTGCGTGCCACGTTATCCACCCTGCCATTTGGGTTACTGTGGCTGGCATATGGTCATGATTCGTCTATCTTTGAAAGCTCGACCACAGAGATATCTTTCTAAACTATCAAACTTGTCAGCCATCGATTACGTAACATCGTCGAATTGTACGACTAACATGGGCAAATACTTACAAGATGGGCGCAAGAATACTATAAGTAGACTCCCTCCTACTGAAAACCAGAATCTTTTTTCCAACAAACTCGCCTACTAAGTATCATTGAACATCCAACATTTCAACTGATCCAAATACGTATCAACATGCATTTTCACTTCATCTGGCTCGTTCTCCTTGCCACTCTGGAGCATGCAACGGGACAGAGCTCTATCGGCCTTTGCAAGCCTGCCGCGTCTTCTTGTGCAGCCCTGCCTCAGGCTTCTGCGGAAATCTGCTCGGACCTCATTGGTATCTCATACGCCGTCTGTGAACAAAGGCCTTAAGGCTAACCTGAACTTGTGCAGCTTCGAAATCACTCTCTACAACGCTCTGCTTCGTTCCCGCCGCAAGCGAAGCGGTTACGGTTACCAAGCCTGTCGTGATCCGGGAAACAGAAACCATCACGGCAACTACTACAACTGATGTTACCACTACTACCTATTCAAAGAGCAGAACGTGAGTTTGATGTTGCATGTTTGCTAGCAAGCCCAGTACTCACCAGATATTTCGGACAGTAAGACGCTTCCTACCATCACGGCGCTGTATACCACAAAGGTTGTCTTCCGGACTGACACCAAGGTGCTGTACACTACGCTCCCCAAACCTCGAACGTATCTTTCTACAGTTATTGTTACTACTACTCTACCAGCGTAAGTGCCATTGTCTAATGACGCTTCCTCTTGCTGACCAAGACTCGCAGCACAAAGACGCGCAGCACTACCTCCACATGGGCACAGCAGTCCTGCGATGCTGGAAACAACAAGCTGAAGCTTAGGAGAGGCCAGCTGGGTGAAAGAGCCGCGCTCCCCCGTGACTGCTGTAAGCCTTGGATACTGCGCCATTGCTGCTGCAACAAAGCTGAATAATTACCTAGACTGCTATTTGACAAGCACCTCAACCAGTGCCATGACAAAATCCACAACCTTTGTCGAAAGGCCCACGGTTAACATGTCTTATACGAAGTTCGCTGGCAGCAAGGTCCCAACTGTCACTAAGCGCATTACTGTCAAAGAAACTACTACCATCTCCACGACCATTGGTGCAGTCACTGATATTTCCACCACCATCACCAAGACCAGACTCTCCAAGAGCACAGCAACATCCATTTCTACCCGATTCTCCATCTCATCTGTTACAGTCCCCTGGACAAAGACCGCCACAACAAGAACCATCCCCGTCTCCACCGTCCAGGTCAACCCGTGCGGGCCTACAGATTACGGCCGGATCGAAATCGGCGTTCCTGACTCCCCGGAGCTCATGGAGAGCAACGAAGTGTCCCTTCCTGGTAGCACCAATATCAACAAGGACTGCTGTAATGCCTGCTACAAGACTCTCGGCTGCGTCTATTGGGCTCGCAGTAACACTGATGGAACGTGCCTCAACTTCCAGGCCACTGACTCGGCTGGATGCTCTACCTCTCAGTGTCCCAACGGGTTCCCTGAATTTGGTGTTTCTGACACTGACGATGGTTACAGCTACTTTGCCGGACCTTGTGGAAGTGGCTTGACGTGAGGTGGAGCACATTAGAGATTGAACACTATCGTTGAGGCAGAGCCAGAAGCCAGACTGAAATACTTTTCATTTGTTTTTGTATTTGATATAGGGTTAGTCACTCGCTCATTAAGTATTTAGTTTAGTCTCCGTCGGTCGTTACATAATAATACACTCGTTTAGCTTCCCATCTCTCATTGATTCAATTGTCTAAAGCTCTTTGCCACTTATATTAGTTTCTATAGGAGGATATCCACAAATTTGGTTACTAGGAGCAGCACTCTCTAATTGGTCAGGATAAACACAACGTGGTATCTACGTCAGTTCATTCCGACCGCGAGCTGGAGTTGAAGAAAACAAGGTTCTCTCACCCAAAGCGAGAGCTGGAATGTTCACTGCAACTAACAATCCGCGCTTTGTACAACAATTGCCCTGTTTCAGTGGCGAGTACTGCCCATTTCTTTCTGTCACCGCAACGTGACACCAGCGCCAATCACAGCCCCTTGCACTCATTACCCCCTAAAACAATGCCGAGCTTTCCGACCCCAACCCCTGTAGATCCGCATCAATTGGCCGCAAGCAGTTCGTTTCACATCTCATCTGTTTCACCATTTGTTTGCCTGCGCCTCGATGTGGAATGCCATTGGATAACGCGGCTGGGGATTGTCCTGCGCACGAATTGTGCCTGAGAAAAATGTACATATTTAGAGGCGACTTGTTCCCTGAATCTGTGTCTGTTCTGTTCTTGGCATCCTTATTCACTTCCATTGATTGTGAGGCCATTCACTCCTTTTCTTTTGCTGTTCGTGATACCTTGTGTTTCACTGACGTTCTTTTGGCGGTTAACAAGTCCCTGGTGGATTTCTTACTTAAACACTCGTTCTTTCAGGTCATTTGCCTCGACTCACGTCAATCAACTCTTTACACTACAACACTCATCAGATCACTATGAAGTTCACTACCCTCTCTCTCATCGCCTCTCTGGCCTCCCTCTCAGCAGCGTCGCTGTCTGCAGTCCCCATCATCGAAGCCATAGCCCCCAAATCAAAGAGCTGTCCCACCGGCAACAAAGAATGCCGCACAGCCACACAAGCAGCCCCCTACATCATTTCCAGCTTCCAGACTCAAGGGATCTACTCCCCCGCTGAAATCGCCGCCGTTCTCGCTCTCATGGCCTTTGAGTCTGGAGACTTCGAGTACAAGCGGAACCACTACCCTGGACGTCCAGGCCAAGGCACTGCGAATATGCAGATGCCCAACTACAACCTTCTCTACGCCAAGAGTATTCCTGAGCTGGCCAAGGGATGGCAGGGCATTGAGAGCACAGAGGGTCTTTCGGATCAGGAGCTGGGGGATTTGTTGGATGATGTCACGGTTGATAAGTATAACTTTGGAAGTGGACCGTGGTTCTTGAGGACGCAGTGCAAGGAGGATGTTCGACAGGCGTTCAAGACGGATGTTGATACCGGCTTTCAGAAGTACATTGAGGAGTGTGTTGGGACAGATCTCCAGCCGCGTCTGGAGTACTTTCAGCGTGCTAAGACGGCGTTTGGTTTGTAGTTGGTTCATGTGGTTTGTTTTTCATTCTATGGCTGGGGTTTGTGGCTTGATGACCTGCTCTGGAGGTCTTACCGTTCAACTTATTGATACAAAGGCTGGATAGCCTCTCATAAGGCTCAAAGCAAAGATGAGAAAATAAAAAACCAACGTTTATTCTATGTGAGCCATTATCCCCGAGTCTAGTTCATTATGTGTAATGAAGATTCTATATACGATGGAATCTTCTGTTCGAACTGACTATTTGCTTTACCTAAATCTCATACCGATCCAACTCATCATGCACAGGTCTATAAACAAAATAATCAAACTGCGCCTCCTTCGCAAGCCCATTGACATCCGAACACGCCATTCCCACAAACGCACCCGTAAAACTTCCATCTTTAGGATGTCCTCCACACTCATCCGACAAGATCGAAGCATCATAAACAGGTCCAATCTCCTTCAACTCCTGCCCCTCAAGAGCATAGTAAAACTGCAGCGTGCTCCCCGCACGAACACTAACCGCGAGTCGGACCTTGCCCTCGTTGGGGATTTCTACGGGTTCGGCAAAGGGACGCTCTAGGCGGCCTATGGGGAATGACTCTTCGGAGGAGAGAATCTGTAGCTCGCGCTGGCCGGCGGCGGTGGCGGTCACGGTTAGGTAGAAGAAGTTGAAGCGGCAGTAGTAGGCTGTCAGACCGGCGAATTGGCGCTCGTCGTCGGGAGAGTAAGTTATCACTGTTTCGGCGTCGTAGGAGAAGTGCGTTTGACGACGTGCGACGAGGGCTTGTTCGAACCATGAACCGACGGACTCTCGACCGATGAGGCTGAGCTGGTTGTTCTTGATGTTGAAAATGCGCTCGGGTTCGGGTGTGCGAAGCCATTGGAAGTCAATGTGGAGTTTGTCGGTGAAGGTATATCGCTTTTCTTTCCAGTATTCTGTGTCATCGCGTGCAGCGGGGAGATCAACGTGAAGACTTGGGACCGGGCCGTTCTTGATGTACAACCAGTCGTCATCGCCCCAGTAAGCTTCTTGGATAGCTGTTTCTCGACCCAGGACTGAACGTCGCTTTTGAGTGACGGGGCGGCCGGTTAGATGCACGATGTAGGTCTTGCCATCGGGCGTGTCCACGATATCAGCGTGTCCAGCTCTTTGAAGCGCTGCATTAGGTGCATCTTTTGAGGTGACGACGTGTTTCTGGGGATGGACTTCATAAGGACCCCAGATGCTGCGTGATCGTGCTAGGGTCATGGCATGGGTATAGCCTGTGCCGCCCTCGGCCGTAGAGAGGTAATACCATCCGTTGCGCTTATACAAATGGGATCCCTCAACATAAGCCAGATCTGTGCCCTTGAAGATGTTCTTTTTCGGTCCCACGAGTTTACCCTGCTTGGGATCAAACTCTTGAAGAAAGATACCAGAGAACAGATGAGGCCGAGCGCGATGATCCCATGTCATGTTGTTGAACCACTTGCGACCGTCATCATCATGAAACAGCGATGGATCAAAGCCAGACGAATTAGCGTACACGGGATCACTCCACGGCCCCTCAATAGCAGGCGCAGTGATGATATAATTATGCGCATCCTTGAATGAACCGTCCTTGCGCTTGACGTCCGTGTACACGAGCCAGAACTTGTCTCCATCGTGCGTCAGGCAAGGTGCCCAGACACCGCAACTATCAGGCTCACCGCGCATATCAAGTTGACTCTTGCGGTTCACTGGACGTACGACGAGTGTCCAGTTGGCAAGGTCTTTGGAGTGATGGATCTGAACACCGGGGAACCACTCAAAGGTGGATGTAGCAATGTAGTAGTCATCGCCGACGCGGCAGATTGACGGGTCGGGATTGAAGCCTGGAAGGATGGGGTTTGTGACCTGTGGCATTTTGGCGGATGCGATGAGACTGAGGTGAGAATTGGGTACTGTCGTGAATGAGTGGTGACTTTATATAATTGCTGGATCTGTTTTGCTGGCTGGCTGTCATTGCATTTAGCCTGAATGCAACCGCGGGGAACTCAGCTCACCCCCCATTCACTGTCATGAGGTTACGATGGGTCTCAGCGCCGATCGCCGTTCAACATTTCCCGGCTTGGCAGTGAGAAAACCACTCAGTTCTCCAAGACCATGTCACCCGTGATGTCCATACTTCCAGGGAAACTCTCCCAGAAGCCCTGCGTTGCGTCGGCGAACGTCGCGTACATGTTGCTGCCGAATGCAAAGTCTGTGTCGAACAGGTCAATGTCCGCGGGCGCGATGAAGGAAAAGTCGACGTTTGACGAGGTCTGGTCATTTTCACCGTCTGTAGCGCTCTGGGAATTGTTAGCGAATGAAGATGAGAGCGATTGGGTGACGTACCTGTTCGTCGGTGCTCTCGGCGTCGGGTTGACGAACGGGATCGGGCTGGAGAGCGCCGTAGTCGATGATTGCGTTGCGCATTTCTCGTCTTTCGCTGGGTGTTACTGCTAGATCGCCGTCGGCCTTGATGTTGCTGTAGAATATCTGCATCGCTTTGATCTTCTCGCGCTGTGGTCCGTCAGTATAGCCAGTGACATGAGACGGGCGACTTACCCAAGTGTCAGCCATCGGCCAAGCTTGTCGCATGTCTTTGAGGAACAAAAGACCCTCGACGATATGCTCCCTTCGTTTCTCAACTTGATGAGCCGTGTCGCCGGGATTTGGGAAGTGGTAAAAGTACAGCATCGTTCCAACTGCTGTGTAAATGGTGAAGCCAATCCATGGAACGAGACCGCGTAGGAAGTACAGGCCAAATGCGCGGATCTCTTGTAGCATGTCGCACACTTGCTCAGCGACCTTCTCGAGCTCTTTACTTGACCATTTTGACCATTGGTCCCAATCCTTATCGCCGACTCTAGCCTTTTGCATCTCAACCTCGGGGAGGTAAGATCGGTAGAGAAAGATGACACTCATGAAGTAGATGCAGTGCATGTAGCAGTATGCCTGACCTTGGTTGGACACGCTGTGTGCCCGTAGGAGGAAGAGTTCGTATCGTAGCCGTTCGGGCAGTGAGTTCTTCCAGAGTTCGAGGCGGGAGAGCAGCATCTGGAACTCGGACTGAGGCTGCCAGGGTGGTACAGTGTTGTCGTGCCGTGTACAAGCCCATTTGGCGACGGCGCCCCAGACATCAGCGACGCGCATGCTGTTGGCCACAATGCCTAGACTGCCGTGGACAGTACCCATCGCCCCATCCGGCATTGAGCCATCGAGTCTTTCGCACAGAACGATCTGGCCAAAGTTGAAGCTATCCGACTCACATGGGAGCTGAATCCGCATCTTATCACCCGACAGCATCCTATCGCGACCCTTTCCCCCGCTGAGAAGACTGTCCATCAGGAAGCACGTCCAGGCAGTGCGGCGTCTCTCTTCAGCGTCGATAAAGTCCTCGCGGGTTGTCGCTGGTGGCGGTTCTTCGAATAGACCGAGGACTTGTGCCATGCGCACCGCCATGCCGAGATAAACCCATGCCCTTCGACCCTCACCAGCACCCCAGGAATGTCCAGTCAGCATGAGAAGAACCTGGGCGCGATGTACGGTTGGTTGGTCTACTAGTGACAAAACAAGAGACCGCGCATGAGCAGCGAATGTATTGCTTGCTTCGACCTGTGTCGCATACCCCGGCGGCGCAGCCTGTGAGAACCTGCTCCATGTGAGTGAGACGATAAGCGAAGGAATCATATGCCGCACCTCACAGTGATAGCCAGCATCGCCCAGACCAGCAAAGGATCCAGCCTCCTCTCGCGGATAGCAATGAGGAGATTCGGAATATGGTGGAACGACCACTTGTACGAGCACCGCAGATAACTGTTCTTGACCTCATCCGTCAGGAAGCCGAACGGGTCCGTGGTGGCCAAGTTCCCGGCCCGGATCAGCTCCGAGTCAGCCCGGCTACCAGCCCCGGCTCCGACTTCATCCCGGTGACGCTCGAGACGGCTCCGGCGGAAGATGAAGGATGTGCCCTTGGGCGGGAAGACGCACTCGTCGCCGCGGTCGCGACAGCGTGTGCAAGGCGGACCGCCTGAGTGGATGCACTGAGAGGGGTGAGTCAGTTGCTGTGAGAGGGAGGGGAAGGGAAGAGGAGCACTTTGCGCTTGGACGAGCGACACGCGCCGCATGCTATTGACTTCTTCATCGTCGATGAGTCAAGTGATGGTGACGTCCGTACGTTGACAGGGCAGTCAATCAGTAGTTCATTGCTACTGGTATTTTGGCTGCGCGAATGTCGAGGCGTGGGGCAAATTTTCCAATGCTGGGCGTTGTATTGGTCATCTTCTGGTCGGTGCAGTGAGAGACACTGAATAGAGACTCGACACCAAAGATACAGCGATTGTGTACGACAACGTGCACGAATCCATTTTTATTGTCAACTTCAATGCAACTTGTGTATGATTAGGACTGGGGTTTATATACCAATTCTTAGCGAGGTACTTGATGGCAGTGATGAGTCGAGCTGCCCGCATTTGCCATCGTTGCTCGCTGTCTGGCGGTGGGGCTGGGCGGCTCTGGGCACTGAGCTTAAGCGACTATGGAGGCAGCCGACGCCCCTAAGATAGTGCACCATTCACTAAATTCAATCGTCGCAAGAACCTCTCCAATCCACTGGAGGCCGGAATTACAGTACACCCGACCCGACGCCATTCACCACTAATGGTGCCTCTGGTCACTAGCAGTTTGTCCCTGTCGGGCATTGTTGATTCAAGTTGGAGCGTTTGCGCATTTAATTCCAGGCTGATAGCTGCGTGCGTATCGGATTCGAGGCATCATACTCTATTTCTAACTGAAGATAAATACATTTCTTGGTAATTACAGACTTACCTGCATGTTACGTTCCTTTACCTATCATCAAGCCCTTGAGGCCGTGAGTGAGGCACCTTAATGCAAGGTAGCCTTAAGAAGCATCCCTTCCATGAAAGCTTTATTTTGACAGCAACTCACCTCCAGCTTCGCTACTGTCCTACCTTGCTCAACGAGCCCAATGTGGTTCTAATTCGACCTACGCCAGGTGCTTTCCTCCGACTCACCGTCTGCTTCAACAATACATCCTATCTCGAGTTGAGGAACTGTGACCGGGCCCGCCGGTTTAGTTCCACGTTGCCATAGTCCGGAGGGAGATCCTGGGCAGCAATGCCGGCCTCCCGACGGTCGCGGTGTGTCAATATCTCACGACTCTCGCAATTGTCCATCATGAGGTCCTCCCATCTTGATAGAGGGATTGGCGGAGCATACCCGAAGTTCTCGCGGGTATTGTACTTTTGATACAGTTCAGACCTGCCACGTTTCGTGGCGCCATCGTGCCCTTGAAAGTCTTTGATGAACTTATCGGCGCTCCACACTTGTCCAGGATTGAAGTTGCAGCGGAGGATAGAACTTTCATTGGTGAGGACTGCCAGGGCTTTCACTGCTCTGCTGTCAAGGCAGCCAAAAAAATGAGCCTCGTACTAATCCGGCAATTGTGGGAAACACGTTTCAAGTGCCTCGAAAAATGCTCCATCTCGTTGAACAGTTTGCTGGAAAATGTCCGAGCACAGATCCATGGCAGCATCGCTATCGATAATCATTGAATATGATTTAGTTGGCATACCAGCATCAAGTGTAGCCAGAGCTTTAACCGACCAGTGGCTCAACTCCCGGAAAACATGGTTACCCAGGAAATTCTTGTCTCGCTCGTCGGATTCATCGGCCTGCATCTTGTAGAGGTAGGCGTCATCGAAGATATTGGCCGCCTGAAGAATATTGGTCAGCATGCTGACACGATGCTCAATTCGGAGTCGTGGATTTTCCTGGAGGAAAGGGATGAAACCATTGGAATGACGTTCCTGGAGCCCCACCGCGATGTGGTCTTCGCGCAATATTATTGCTCTCAAGGACAATCGTTTGCTAAGAGGTAGATGGCGCAAGAAACGAATGGCGACAGCGGCAGCTGAGAACCGATATTTGGAGCGATGGGCAACAGTGAACCTTCCCCAACGATCCACCTCCCATAACTGTAGTCTATCCCATTTTTCCTCGTCCCCCAGTCTCTGGCCCATCGCTTCCAGGTCCGACCATGAAGGTATGTCCCAGGGCTCAAAGCATTCGTCGAGGAAGTCGAGCAGGTCTTTGCGATCTCCTTGCCAACCTACTATAGACTGAGCCGAACGGCTTCCTGGGCATGTTTCCAGCTTCTGGGCAACTAGTCTCAGTGCAAATTTGACGGCTTGGGAGAGTTCGTAGCGTGGACCTGACGTGCCCCAAAAGACTCGTTCTCGGGACGTGACTGTGCGATAGACTTTCCACTCTCTGCCCCGGGCAACCTCATCCAAGTATCGGCCTGAATAGACTGTCCGAAATTGCTCAGGGCTTCTCACAGCCTGTTGAAGCTTCGGCACAAACCAGGGAAATTCTCTCCCTATCTCTTCGTAAATGGCGGGGGTGACGTATCCCAAGCTTCCGAGCTCAACAAGGATATGTGTTTGCATGAAGTATTGGGTACGAAGCAAGTAATCGAATCGGCCGGCCCACGAACGCCACTCGGGATGGTATACGGTCGAGAACGACACAACGTTGTGCTTCAATGGAAGGTTCTTCGTTTCGGAAGCGATAAGCTGGCACGTGTACATGAGGGCGAGGTCCAGAGGTTGTCCATCGGCGGCGGCGAGTTTGCCAGATCCAGGCTGGAAGGCATATCCGCCATCGAGAGTGAAGTACGCTTGATAGATAAGGTGTCGAATCTCATGCGGGAGACTGAGCAACCTGCGGGAAGCCATGATGCTGCAGGTGACAGGGTTCGATGAAGCGCGGATTGATCGTGATGAGAACAAGCAACAGTGTGACTGCTTAGAGGTGTCGTTAGCGAGCAAGCAGTACAAAGTGGTGCTAGATATCTTGTATCCTATAGGAGCCGAACTTGGCTCGCCTCTCAATATTGTGCTGTGCTTTGCGTGGTTGAACTTTGCCTAAACTTTGGTTCAAAGGTGCCTGCATGGAGAAATGGTGGATTGAGGGGGGTGGAGAAGGATCGAAAGACGGGGCCACTGGGGGTTTTATACCTCCGGTGCCTCAGTATTAGGTAACATTTGGCACCCAGACAGCAACACCAGGTACCAACTTCAATGACTCATAACAAGCAGTTAAAGTTTCGTATGGCGCATCCCCTAAAATGTTATCTTCATACAATTCGGGGAGGAATTTGAGATTGCAGTACGGAGTACATTGCAGATTCATTGATTGAAGTTGAAGCTTATGATCTCAACGAGATGTATCAAGCCAGAACACTAAAAGATGTTAATTAACTTCAGCTTTTGGAAGCCGCATATAAAGATAGCCTTGATATAAATAAGTCTCCTAATTAAAGACAAAATGATACGCTTTTATGATGACTTAATCAGCAACCTTATTTGAAGCTGCCTGGGGTATATTGTATACCTTGGTGTACCAAAACGTTGCTGTATGTCGATTAGAAGGCACAGAAGAACTAAAAGGCCCGGGAATCGATAAATACAGAACGTCCATGGCTTCACCAACCTTGCCCGGATCCCCCTGAGGCACCGGCTCCAAGCGCTTGAGATTCGATTCCACTGCCTGTATAAGCTTCGCCTTGCTATGCATTAGGATGGCCGCAGTATGTCCTGTCTGCCGTAGGTCGAGAATTATTTGGATGGGAAATTCTTCAGACCCAGAGCCTCGAATGCCGAATGGCCTGTAGGTAATATGCAGAAATCTCTGCGAGGACTGGTGTAAGTCACATCGATCGTGGTGCAGTTGGCCTTTTAGCCGGACACCATGGCAAAGGTCACTGAGAGGATTTTTTACTAATTTATGTCCAAGGTTTAAACACTCCTCTTCAGCTGTTCAATTTATCCATCGTATCTTGTAAAAGGTTCTTCAGTCCAGCTTGTATAATGCAAAGTAAGAAATCTAAGCAAAAGCCGCTTCCCATCAAAGAACAATACTCTATCTTTCACTATCATTAGTCTTGTTATATCGGCTAGACACGCCATAAGATCTAATTTCACAAAAGAGGCCTCGTATATATTTACATCCTTCAATCTTTTACTTATTTAACAACAATATAGGTACTATTACGCTCCAGCAAACCCTCCTCGACTATCATCCAATTCCTACCCTTTTCCTGACATCAACGGGACCCTTCCCAGAGTGAGTGTATGCGATAGATACGATTGAAATGTGAAAGCTAAAAAGTATTCATGTGTCTCTAGGACTCTTGATATAGTTGTTGATGAAACGGCAGGAAAGAACACAACTTCTCGTCTGACAACTGTTAGTACCGTATATGAGTGGTTGCATACCTGCTTACGTTAGCCAGAATTCTTGTTACACTTGATCAAGATCATTACGGGGCTCATTAGGGAAGGAATAAAATCTCCAGGCTGAACATTATCGAACATGAACTAAGGTTATGATATCGCCAAGCCACATTCTGGATGACTAATGCTGAAGGATTCTCGAAGGGCGCTATTGTCAACGAGCCAAGCCAGGTATAAATGCAACCTCCGCTTCCTTGGAGACACTGATCAACTTGCTTCTTACAACTTATTATTAGATACTATTGTTGAAAATTTAACATGACTTCTTTGACATCACGATCTGAGCTCATTGATCTCCTCAAATCTATCCTCAACGCCCGGAATGAGACGAAATGGGAAACTCTAGAATCCTTATTTCAGCCGAGTATGCTGATCGATACAACATCTCAGTCGCGCGATGCCTTCATCGAAAATCTTCGTTCAGCCAGTGGAGTCTCAGTGAGACTTGATAGTTGTGTGGTTGATGTAAACGCCCAAGCCGTTGCTGGGCGAGTCATCAAGACTGAAACCCTCCCAGATGGTGAACGGTATGAGTGTCAGGAGATTATTATCACATGGTTTGTCGACGGTCGCTTGACAACTCTCAAGCGACTCAAAGACGTTGAATCTCGCTCTGCAAAACAAACTGCAACTCCTTCGACGTTGGAAGAACTGAAACCTACTTCTCTTGACCTTGGAGCACTGTACCGCGAGTACATTAAGAGCATCAACGACAAGACCATGGAAGCAAACTTTAACAAGTTCTGTCAGTCATCAGTGACGCATAATACTGTGGACAAGACCATCGCGGAGTATATATCTCTGATTTCAGACAGTCAAAGTGCAATTAAAGGTCTGTACTTTGACATTCAAGATTTCATCATAGATAAGGAAGCGGGGAGAGTTGCGGCTAGGTTGAAGTTTACTGGACTCCCTGTCAAAGTATGGGCTGGCGCTGAGCCTAATGGGAAAAGTGTCGAGTTTCATGAGCATGTCATGTATTGGCTCGATGAGGGAAAGATTCACTGGGTTTGGTCTGTTGTTGATTTGGACACATATCGAAGGCAGCTTCAGTAGACAGACTATAGTCGTATGCAGAACGGAGGTCTCTATTGGATAATATTTGTGGACGTGTCAATTTAGCCGATAGATCTGATAGGTGATGCTGGCATCACCGGCGTTACCTCGAACAAAATCATCTCCTCTCCTGTTAATCACTGAATCGCGCTAAGCTGTCAATACAAAGTTTGGTGTCATGAGGGCAAGCACACTATGTCAGATATCCACATGTATATCCTTCTCTCATCGAGCTTTCGTACCATGGATTCCTGTGCCTGCCCGCTCTTATATATCCAAAGCAGTCAGCAAATTGAGGAGCCTTGACCTTTCCATTGGCACCACGATATCCAAACTTGTACCGCTCCAATTATCGTCGCTACAATACCAAACAGTGCCGCTGCTACTAATGCAATAAAAGTCAGCCAGAAGGCATGTCTCGGCGATCTTCTACGCTGCGCCCATCGACCCGGTCGAGACACAGGTGCAGGATCTTCCGACTCAGCATACAAGGTATGTAAGCGAATAGCCCAGTGAGGATATCTCTCAAAAAGCTCTCGCCGTGTAGTAAGCGGCCTTTCATACACAGTCTCTCCATGATGGCACTTAAGCGGTGCTGATATCCTTTGATCTACTAGTCGGACATCGTTCCCCCTCCAGCGATACCAGCACGAGTTAAATTCTATTTTTCGATCGAGCCATTGCTGGTCTTGGGGCGGGAATAGCAGTCGAATAGTCTGTAGAGTTTCATAAAGGAATGTTGGGTTGTAACAACCTCTTTTACACATGAGTTGAATCCAGATTATCAGTTTGTTTGTACATACCGCTTTAAGCTATCTTTCATAGATGTCTCCCAAGGTTCGTCTTTCATAGCCTCGTATGTCATCTCAAGAAGTGACACCAGGTCGAAAACTCGCAGGGTTTTGGACTGGCTGCCTATGTTCAGCATTAGATGATCGGGGAGGTGATGAGTCCACTCCAGTTGAACATCGGCGTGATCTTCTAGGTAACGTGCGCGAAGTCGACTCGCCATGAAGGGTGTATGGGGCTCGTCATTGTAGGCGTGCTTCGGGAACGTTTCTTTTATGAAGCTTGTCAGAGTCTGGCTTTCGCCCCAGCTAAGACCGGGCGTCGCCAGAAATACTGTCCTAGGGTCAAGGTTGATATTTACTGCCAGCATCACTCTGATGGTGGCAACAATATGTTCTTCTATAACAACATCCCAGGATGTGGTGTTCTGAGGTATGGGTACCGCCCTGTTATGAGGTACATGACTCGTCGCAGTATTCCTGGTACTTTGTCCATGGCCCAATTCTGAGGTCATAGTATTTCTCAAAAGCTGACGCGTAGAATCAGGCCCGTTTTTTAGAATGTCAGCTGTGGTAAATAAACCTTCCATTGAAACATTGAGCTGGCCAGCCTGATCTCGGAAATGGTCGAAGTAAGCACTGAGCTGATCCACGCGGCTGGAGCTTTGTAGATCCAAGCCCCAGAGCCTCCGAGCTATCAGCTGTCTCTTAGCTGTCGGATCCAGCTCTGTTTGAACACCAGTACTAGTATCAGGTGCAAAACTCATACTGAGAAATGAGGAATAATTGAGGGCGGAGAAGCCAAGGCGATGGCAAAAGACCCGGCTCTGATATTTGGCATGATGGTCACATGAGAATGAGACATGCATATAGGGCGGTGGCGGTGCCCTTTGATCTCACAACGCCTTGTCCTGCAGCAGCCTTGTTTTCAATTCCCCTCATTCTCACTCACTGTTCGCAAACTCCAAGTAGAGGCAAACTATTCAAGCCATGTTGCCTCATCACACGCACCAAGATGGTGGAATTGTAGACGTGGGAACAGAGTTTTCCCTAGAACCGGATCCAGTCGCACCTCAACTTTCGCGATCACTTCAAAGAGGCGCAACGTCACCACCAGGATCCAACATCCCTCGCTCACTTTCATTTCGGCCACCCAACGGCGCCAAAAAAGGCCAATCATCGAACCCCCCCGACGATGTTGCGACGGATGCCAATTATTCCACAGAAGGGGGAGTTCATCCGGTCCCAAAAGCAAAAAGGGTTGTACAGGTGAAGCGTGGCAATAAACTACTCCGCCTCTTTGGGGTTGAACGTACTTCAGTTCATGATCTCCAAGTTACAACAGTCGATGAGTTCTCTGATGGCGAGGCTGAGACCCAATATGAGAAATACATTGACTATCTCCGCAATGCACCCCCAGAGAAGAATCCCTTAGACCATTTTCGCAAGATTAGCAGAATGCTGATGCCCCAGCGCGCGTTAGCCTCTAAAATGGGTACCGAAACCCAGGATCTCCCTGTCCCTTTCATTCAATTCACAGGACTGCACAACGAGGGCGAGGTGATGTTTTTGCACGCGGCATTGTTTCGCATAAGATATCGACCTCCTATGCCTGTATGCTATGTCGTACAGCAGATCGAACTCCTGGCAGATGATGCAAGTGAGGCTGAGACACTGAATGCCAATACAGGCACTCTTTGTGGTGCACTAGTCGCCATCGGTACGGGAAACGACCGCCAAATCAGTACTATCGGCGGTATCATCGAAAGCAGCGAAGGGTATTTAGCTCTCACCACCAGCCACCATTCTAATGATACCGTTGATGCCTTACCTCAGCTCAAGAGCTTCTTCTCGATGCTTGACGTCAACTTTGATAAAGTTCTCAATGCTAGTATAAACTCTCAGCCGGAGAACTTCAGACTGGATGAAGACGGGGATGATATTCCTCCACCGCTCGTGGTAGACACGGTCCCTACCCACAAAACACCAGCAGTTCCCCAGCAGAGTGGCAAGGCTAACGCTAGGACGGCTTCTGATAGTCCTGATGCTGGTCCGCTAGGCAAGGTTTTACACATTGGAACTGATTGGTCTATATTGCGATTAGCCGATCAAATCGTTCCGCCAAATTGCATTGATGAAAGACTAGTGACGCTGGGCGAACAGCCTCTCCAGGATATTCTGAATGACGTGGTCTTCTTGAGTCGAGCCGCTTCGGAGCCAGAGGCATGCGAAGTTCTTGTTTGTGGGGGGCGAGGCGGCTTGAACAAGCTTGACCTGACAAAGAAACCGGCCGATTTGATGCTTCCTTCAGGGGTCTGGATACGACCTTGGAAAGCAAAGCATAAACCAGCCTTGGCGTGCAGTAAGTTATTTGACATTCCCCTCCAGACGTGAGTGAGACTCTGACGATCAAACAAGAGTTGCAGCGAGGAGATTCTGGTGCTTGGGTTGTGAATATTAATACCCGCACCGCCTATGGCCATGTCATGGCTGTCACTCCAGATGACGTATTGATACAACCACTTGTGGATATCTTCCAGGATATTAAGAATAAGAACAACCTGGACGTCAAGATAGCATCACCATTTGGGCAGCTAGCAAATCTTTCCAAGCACTACTATTTCAGCAACGAGCATCACTTGGCAATTAGTCTTGCGCGAAAAGCTTTGGATCCAGGAGTGATATCTCAGTCAACAGAGGGGCCACAAGTAACAGCCATGCTCCAAGGTTTTATGAAAAATGCCGATAAAAGGGACAAGTTACTCCCGAAGTATTCCAGAAACCATCTAGCCGACTTCCTTATAAACCTGATAATGTGTACCGGGCGAGATATTGACCTCAGTCGCTCTCCTAGGTGGACCGACGATTGGACAGCTATGTTTGGTACTCCGATGAGTATGATCGAACATGTCAATTATTTGAAAGGAGCTGGAGGTCTGCCGACACTTGATGAGATTGAGGCAGCCTCAGGTCGAAAGACGGTTTCAGATCAGGACCGTCCGAGGACGCGTTCCCGAGTCCGGGACGTAACGGCTCAAAGACATCACGAGACCAAAGCTTTGAAGGTGCCAGACAAGATCATAAAGAGAGCATATAATTGGGTTTCGAGGCTTTTCAACCAGTCCGAGTTGCAGTTCACGATGGTAGGACTACCAGGTTGCGGTAAATTGGATCTCTTGCGTGGCATCTCACACCACGATTTAACCACAGCCCCAATGTCCATCGTCGGATTCAACACCACACGTATACAACGGAACGGGATCACTGCGAAGATCTGGAATCTCAGTGAAGATGCGGAGTGGCGACTGAATTGGGGAAAATACTCCAGAGGAGTCGACGGCGTCGTGTTTGTAGTGGACACAGAGGATACAGGGCTTTTACCCGAAGTGCGTCGACAGATCCTCATGTTAATGAGCCAGCCCACGCTTTCTGGCGTCTCCCTTATAGTATTCGGGAATAATTCTAGTGATCGGAAGGGATTGACGATAGAGGAGTTGAAAGCCAAGTTGAATTTGGAGCAGATAATGAACGGTCGGCGTGTTGATATCTGGCTTGGTGATGAGGCGAAGTTTGATATGCTTCTTGGCTCCTTACTTAATAGGAGAAACATGTAGGTCTCATAGCGAGGGAAGAGCGCTATATTCTTGCGCAATTTGCTTTTAATTTACGAGTATCCGTGGGTGTAACGCAAAAGTGTGGCATACTGGCAGTACGAATGAGCAATGTCTCTGGTTTGCGATAGTAGAAGCGTGGACGTGTCGAAAGTTGGAAATAACTTCCGTAGCAATTTCTAAGTTGTCTATATTATGCATTCTAATCAAAGTCCCTAAATAACTAAATTGCTATACCCCAATTGTCACCATGAAGTATTTTCTCTGATCGGCTGATTCCAGGCCAGGTTTACGTTGGTGGCTTGGGCTGCAGAGTGAGCCTCGCTCAGAGCCTGATTGGAAAGTCTGCCTCGCGAGGCGGTGAGAAACTGGCGAGCCCCAAAATTGCAGTCTGACGTACCCGGCATGACGAGGCTTTCCGAAAATTGTTCATCTCTCTTCATCCAACTCTCGTACTTGTCCATGACGCCTCAAAGCGACAAGAGACTATGGCGTCCAGTTCGACCGACCAAGTTAGCGAGGTCTTTGAAAAGGCCAAAGCTGACTTTCTGAACGGGATCAAAGATCAGAAGCTGCGCAGTCAGCTTCAGAAAGCGACCACAATTGACGACATTTGGGACTACACGGAACAGCTCCAAAAGGACCAGGCAAGCAATAAGCGACTACGAGGCATGAAGAGGATCGGACCTTATATCGAGCGACTGCAAGAATACGCCGGGGTAATTGAGGTCTTTGTCCAAGTCAAGCCGGATATTCTGGCTCTCATCTGGGGACCGATCAAGCTCTTGCTACAGATCTCGAGTAACCTCGTTGCTTCCTTTGATGCGATTCTTGGCGTGATGAAGAACATGGGGTCCATTCTTCCTCGATTTAACGAATTCGTTCCGCTGTTCAAGAATAATGAGCGCATGAAATATGTTCTGGGATTGTTCTTCCAGGACATCCTTGATTTCTACCTCGTTTCTCTACGATTCTTTGGGCTTACTCGTACGAAAATGATACCCGCTGTTATAATATAGTTTGTGAGGCTAAACTGTCTAGGCTGGAAAGTGTTTTTTGAGTCATTGTGGCCAGCACGCCGAGCCGAGATACAAGTCATTGCTGAAAACATAGAAAAGCACAGGCTTTTGCTTTGCAATGAGATCACACTCAGTGACATTCTGGAAGCTCACACAGCGCGGAAGAAGGCTCTTGAGCACTACGCTGAGACACGAGAATTCCAAGAGCGTCAGGACTTTCATTCTATGGAGACTTATATACGCCCTCCCTCTTACGATGCAGACCTTGATCGCATTCGAAATACTCGGTGTGAAGGGACTGGTTCTTGGCTAGTTCAGGACCAGCAATTTGTGAGTTGGGCTGAAGGAAAGGAGAAATCTTCCCAAGTTCTATGGCTTCAAGGTATCCCTGGAGCAGGTAAGCCAATTTCTCCGGTTTCAGGATGTCCAAAGCATACTTGACGCTAATAGGCTACTGAATAGGGAAGACCTTCCTAGCATCGACAGCGGTTGAGAGGACGAAAGAGTTAGGTCATTCGCTATTTGTCTTTCTCAGTTATACAAATGCTCTGGACTCCCCTCTCCCTATCTACCATTCCTTGATCTTTCAGCTCGCTTCACAAGATCGAGACTTGCGAACTGTGCTCTGCTCAACCATCCTGAGCACCACTAAAGACTTGAAACGCGATCTGAAAGGTGACTCCAAATTCGCGCTCAACATCTTCACAAAGCTGCTCCAGGCCGCAGGCCCAACATACATTACGATTGACGGCCTCGATGAGATTGATGACTGTACCCAACAGACATTTCTACATCTACTCCTTGGTGTGCTGAAAAGCTTGCCCAATGTCAAGCTTCTTGTCAGCAGCCGAAGAGTTGACAAAATTGAAAGAATTCTTAAGCCAGTTGCCATGATACTACCAATCGACCGAAAGAACTCTGGTTGTATCGAGACATACGTCTCTCATCGAAGTCAATACTGGCTTGATAATTCATATTTCGACAGTGATGCCCGCTCAGAAGTTCGGCAATTGCTCAATCCCTTGGCTTCGAAAGCAGACGGTAAGCCTTTCTGAAGTCTTATTTCTCTTGAATCATGTGAACTGATATCGATTAGGTATGTTTCTCTATGCGAGGATCGTCCTCGAAGATGTGGAAATGCTACAAGACTTGGATTCCATCCGAGACCAGCTCAGAGCACTCCCTGAGGGTCTCGACGAAGCGTAAGTCGCTTTGTTATCCCCATGCATCATTATTGAGGCTAATATCGAACCAAAGGTATGAGAGGATACTTCAAAGAATTACAAAACATCCGTCAGTCGCTCAGAAGCAATGCAAGAAGCTGTTGTCATGGATAACCTGCTCTCCTGTTCAGATCACTCGCCATGAGATGGAACAGGCTTTGATAATCCAGGTGGACCAGAAGCGTGTTCCTCCAGTCAGATCCACTTTAAACACACTACCTCTATGTGGACCATTGGTTCAGGTCGAGGACGAGCATTTGAAGTTTGTCCACTTCACTGTGAAGGAGTAAGTGACACTAACATGATTACTATATGTTCTAATAGCAATCTCAGGTATCTTCTTCGACATCAAAAGAATAAACTTTTGGATGAGGGAGAGGCACTTCTCGAAATCTCGACTACCTGTTTGGCGTATTTGTGCTCAGAGTGTCTAGACCCGGATCTCAGTGACGACGATATCGAGCGAAACGTTATATCTGGGGCATATAGGCTACTCAACTTTGCACAACACCAGTGGGCAGAGTGTCTTAGACTATGCACGAGACATTTCCGAGATGAGTTGCCGCCACAGCTTATCCCCCTGCTGGGTCACATCGTGCAGGACCTCGCAAATCCATACTACAGCCAGGACTCGGAAACAAACCTGGGGCTCTGGAGTCTTGATAGGTTCAAGTCAAACCTTGAAGAGGTCAAGGCTATTTCTCGCAGCCTCGACTTGCGAAGTAGTATGGCTACTTCTTATGGCTGGCGTCTTGACGAAGGTAACAACAACTACCCATAATAACTTTACTGAATTTCCGACTGAGGCTTTCTTAGATGATGGCGGCTGGCCAGATTTCGATCCGACGACTATCTCTGCGACTACAATACGTGTCCACCGGATGCTACAGAGCATTCTATGCAGCGGAAGCAAACATGCAAATGATTGCCACTGCTCAGACATTCAAAAGCATTATGGCCTCACTGTCAATAGATGCCCATTTATCTCTTGTCGGTTCCATCGTTCCTTTTTAAGGAGCAGAACTCTCCGCGATGAGCATATCAGACACCATGACCGTCCGTTTAAATGCGCCATGGAAAGCTGCGAATACTCGACTCTCGGTTTCTCTTCTCGGGGACAACTTGAACACCATTGGGCTCAATGTCACCAGAGGCCAAATGAGTTTCATATTCCCGGAGACCTCAATACCCGTCAGCGCGAGGATCTCGAGGCACTCGTGATGGAGTACATTATGAGAGATGAAGTTCAAGAAATGGAACGTATTCTTCCCTCGATTATACCACGATGGCCTTCCGAACCAGCTTTCAGATCTTCCTTTGAGGGCTTGTTAGCTTCTCATGGTTCTGTTGCAATGGCCCGCCTTATATTTCGAGAGCAGCTACCAGATAGCCATACTCTTGAGAAATTCATGCTTAACGCTATCAAAACTCACAACCTTCCGGTCGTTGCGTGGGCTTTCAGCAAGAGCCTAATCAAGAAACTACGATATTATAACTTTGAAATCATTTCAGAATTAATGGCATCTGATTATATCGAAACTTTCATTATCTGGCGAAACGACGCACTATCCTTGGGCGACTTTTCTTTTGCTTTCACCCAAAAGTATTTTTATCGCAAATGGAGCCCATTGATGGAGTCACAAGTAGTATCGCTGTGGATTGAGCAGCAGAAACTCGGAAACTTTAGTCAAAAAAGGGCAAATAAGCTCCTGAAGCTAGTGGCCTCTGGGAACTGCTCTCTCTCGTTGGCTGAGGCTTTAATCGCTTGCGGCGCCGATGTTAACTACAGAGCAACCAAAAATTCTGCAACCCTCCCTCCGTTACACCATGCGATGAGGAAGACCAGTGCTGAGGCAGCTGACCTAGTCAAGTATCTTCTGTTATCTGGCGCAGATCCCAAATTGAAAGTCATACGCTCATCAGGGAAGAACAAGGCGCAGGAGATCGTTCTATCCTCGGAGCCAGGTGCAAAAGGTATCTCCAAGTGGCTGGGTATGTCGTGGGATGAACTAGTCGAATGGGCAGTGGAAGAAAGGCGACAAGGTTCCAAAAATGGATTGACTTCAGCGTCTTCGACATTATCGGCTGATACAGGGTGACTATATATACCTTATACATATGGGGATACATCTATCACGGATATGTATTGTAGAGTTAGATGTTTCCATTTAGGAATATATGTCGACGATGAGCTATCAGTCTAAATGGAAGCTTAATTTGTGAGCTCTCTATTGTATTTAAGGGTGAAGCCCATAGTCAAGGCGACTGAGTCTTCTCACCGAACCCTATAGCACTACGTGCTCTCCATAAGTTCTTCGAAAGAATATATTCTTCATTACGCTAATTATGACTATTAAATAGCCCGGCTAGATGGCCTAAGGTGCTGCTGATAAGATCCAGCTTCCTCTCCTTAACATCTTTAACCAGCTAAGTTGGCAGCATTAGCGTGAAAATGTTGAGGCTTAGAAATGTGAAGCTACTCACCATCTCTATTGAGTCATTCGTGATGTACCGGGTTGCAACAACGTCTCTTGTTTGACCCATTCTATGCACTCGGTCTATTGCTTGCTCCTCAAGCATTGGGTTCCAATGCGGCTCAACCAGGTGGACAAAATTGGCAGCGGTCAAGTCGACCCTGTTCAAGATCAGCTATCGAAAACACATAAGCATACTCAGGTTGAACTCACCCCTCACCAATGCTTCCTATCGTGGCAATAATCACAGTGCACCTGTCGTCGTCGCGAAATGATTGTAATGCCGAAGTCCTCTCTACCAGAGACTTTTGTCCATCTATTCTCGCAAACTGGAAGCCCTCGCTCCGGAGAGCAAATTCGAGCAAGTTTAGCATTTTTCTCCAAAAAGTGAACACGACGCTACAAGCCTGTCAGCATTGGACATCATTGATGACAGGGCCTGGCAGAAGAACCTCTTGATAGGTTTGTTACCAAACGTAGGAGGGTTGTCCTGTTGCTCAACACGGAGACTTTGTATGAGTGCTCTCATCTTGGCAGACGGTTGGTAACTTCCCTCGTCTGTAGCTGCGTCGGTAACTGCTAATTCCCCATTCCTGGTACAGCTTGGACAGAGAACGCTATCAAGTGAGATTTGATAACTTTCATCTGAATCTGCGCATTTGGAGCAAAGGAAATGAGAACAGGCGAATTCAGATTCCATCTCAGTAGGTAATGCTTCCACGCCGCAAGATATGCAGAGCCCAAACTTTCTTGCATTGAAATCTGGATCCGATGTTGGGTTCTGCCGACGGCTCCAGGCCTCAAGGGCGAAGTTCGGGAGGAGACTCTGTCCATGATTGCAGATGAGTCTTAGGGTGTTGATGATCGGAAGAATGCCCCCCGTTTTGTTAGCAGTATCTGAGGCACCAAACCCTCTGCTGGCAACCAAATGGGCACCGTTTCTCTTGAAGAAATTATACAGCTCTCTATCATCTGGATCCAACTGTACAATGCACTCGCGTTCCTTACGATCAGGAAGGCTTAGCCTTTCACTCACGCTGTCTTTGGTCCTGCGGAGACAAGTTGCACTAACAAGTAGTTTTAGCCGTCTGAGCCCCTCCGTAGTGCCCTGGGCTACCGGCTTGATGATCCAGAAATCGAATACTGATTTACTGATGAATGGTGGGACTCCAATGAAACTCAGTAGAGCCCCATAGTCGTCGAGCCGATTTTGTATGGGCGTGCCGGTGAGGCACCATCTTCGACTGGTTCGTAATGCAGTGACGGCCCTGAAAGTCTTTGTCGACCGCTCACGGATATGATGGGCTGGACTTTGTTAGCTGATTAAACAACCAGAAGCGAATGAATATGACCTTCGTCAAGCACGACTCGTGCCCATGTGTGTGTGAATAGAGGAGAATATTCTTTCCTTGACTTCCACTCAGACTGTAGTGTTCCGTAGGTGGTGAGGACAACATCGTACTCCAGGAGAGACTTGGCCAATTGGTCTCTCATAGGTCCATGGAAAAGCGCCACTCGAATCTGATCAGGTACAATGTGCCTAGGATAAGTGAGTTCTGAAGCTGAAAAGAGGACGAAGATGTTGATACCTGGTGATCTGCTCTTCCCACGCAGGAATAGATAAAAGGATGTCAGAGCGGATATTCGAACATGATGGTAAGAACATACTTACTAGAGTTTGGTGCAACAATTAGTGTCGTGCGACAAGTCTCGGGGACATCTGCATTGTCCATAACATCTAGAAACCAACTGATCAAAGCGAGAGTGCTCAGGGTCTTTCCAAGTCCCATATCCTGAGATGTGTCGGTGAGTTAGTGAGAAGCGAATATGGAATGCATAGACTGACATCGGCAAGAATACCCCCAGACAATGGAACGGGGTTCACTTCTTTTCGCCCCGTGATAGTATGACGATACCTTCAAGCTGTTAGTTCCGAAAATGATGCGATCTAGATTTTGCATACTCTACGCGGCCATCTGACGTAGTAACGATATCCCATAGGGAAGGAAACGTCGTATCATCAAGCAGACCACTGTCCCTTTCGACCATCATTGCAAGGGCCTTCTTTTGATGTCTAGATTCAAGTCAGATCATTTTTCTTCCAACTACTGAAACCTTACTCTTTCAGACTCGTTCTTAATCTGGGACTTGGTTGGACTTGCGTAAATGTCGACGGTCCGCTGGCAGAGTCAAACACCTGATGGACTTCGCACTTCGCCTTTTCCGCCATGACTTGGTCTGATGAATTTTGGGTTGCTAGTGCTTGGAAGGTCGCACCATCAGCTCTAGGAATGGTTGAGCCGGGTCTTAAGAGGTACTGAGGGTTCAAATACTCCAGGCGAGTATCGTATTCAGTCGGATGCTGGAGGAAGAGTTCAGAATCTTCCAGAAAGTCACCAATATCATCCATGTCCTTACGCAGGCCGTAGATGACAACATGAAGTATTTTTGGCGTTTGGAACGACTCGATGGACTTGTTCTTTTTGACAGGTGGACATTCCAAAATGGCAACGAGCGTCACCTGATAATTTTGAACGAGATCGACTATGGCCTTGGAATCTATACGACCCATATAGTTACCAGAGCCTTCAACATGAAGGCTTATCACATGGCCTGAGAATCGGAGCTCAATGGGAGCATTTGGTAGATCTTTACTCAACGTGGCCGGTGACGAGAATTCGATAAGAAGCTATTTATTAGGATGTGGACTCGTGAAAGATCGGGTAATTTACAAACCTCTCCAAAGCAGCATTGCTCAGACTCGTTGGTAGATAAAATGGCGGCATCCTCATTAACGGATGGCTGATAGTTCAAAGGGGATAGCCGCGAACTTCCCGCATCGCTCAATGCGAACGGACTGTATGAGTTCCGCTGGCTTGGATTGGAAGAAGATATCGGATTCAACCAACCGGGTTCTTGAAGCCTCGAGGTGTCGAGAAAACTTGGCGGCTCCAGACAGCCTCTCTTAGACAAGTCGCTCTCGTCGAGCAAGACATGCGCGGTGCGCTGGCGTTTTTTCGGCGGCGTTTTTGACATGTCTGCTTCAATTGACAGATAATTTGCAATGAACGGTGAGGATATGTTGGGCGGGATAGCGAGAGAAGATTGAGGCTGTGGATGAGGTAGCCAACGTGCAGCCAGTCAGCCTTACGGCAAGGGTGCCTGACAGCAGGGGTTCCTCAAGCAAGGGTGCCTGAAGCGACGATCTTTCAAGGCATTCGCCATTGAAAGCATTAGGGATCATCCGAAATAAAACTAGAAGATACTTATCCATGATGTATACGCATTCTATATGATACAGTAAGGAGCTAATGAAGATAATAAAGAATAGAGTAATTGTTATGATTCATGCCCGTAACAGCACTATAAGGCCTCGACAATGGAGCTACAGTACATCCATGATTACTTGCACAGCGATCATGTCTGTGATTTGACGGCTTGTGCCGCGGCTACTTTCAAGGAGGACATTTTCTCATTCTAAGCGAAGTAAGAAACCTAATAACTATAAGTTTTGTGTGGCAAACAAGCAATTTATTCTTATGGAACTACAGAAAGCCAAATAATGAGATCAGAGAACAGAATATGTCGTTTCAATCACCGGTTTGCTGTTCTCGACTGTTTTAGTACCCGTACTCTCACCCCGCCTAGGTTGGGCTGATAAGTAATCGACCATGCCGTATTTTATGCGACATTAGTTAGAGACAGGGAACATTCATTGGGCTCACTCCTCCGCGAACTTTGACCACTGTCTGATCGTGCGACCATATCGCCAGAAAAGAAAGGAAACGGGCGAGAGAGCGAGACAGATTGAGCCAATGACCGTGCCACCAACCCCCAACCCCACATCCACTAACAAGTCTGTAGCATACAAAGGAAAAGTAGCAGCGATCACACAGCGTAGAAAATTATTAATGGCCAGGGCGCTATTGGCGTGGACGAGATATACCTCAATCAGGTACACCACGCCAGACATCAAGACCAGGATGGAGCCGCTACCAAGGAAAACCCCAGCGGCAGCTTGTGCCAGCCAATGGACTGACCTGCTAGAAGTCCATCCGAACCAGAAAATGCCTGAAATATGTAAGACTGGGGTTCAAATATAGGGCGGTTTGGTATGTACCTGCGGACAAGAGGACGGACCCGGCAATCATGGGCGGCAGACGTCGTTCCGGCACATGAACTCGGCTCTGCTGGATATAGTAGATGCTATGCAGAGCAATCCCTATACACGCGAGGACAACGCCAATGGTCATCCCGATAAACGGAAGACTTCCGTCCATACGGGACCATCCGCGGACTGTGACAAATGCAAGAGGGTACATAGTAAAAGTGAGGTATATAATTCCATAAGCGAGACTCATGTAGACGGTGAAGAAGATGAGCTGCAGATCTTCAATAAGGTTTCTAAATGCTGGGGTAGCTGACTTACTATTGGCTCCCGCACAAACATCCTGACAGGTTTCGTGAGGTAGCTCTGTACAAATATCGATATACCCCGTTCTGGACGGTATATCCGAGATTGGGTAACCGATGTATTCCCCTTAAATCTCTGGCGCAGTATCGCCACCTCGGACGTTTCAGGGGTCAGGACAAACGCGACACTCCCAAAGACGACACCTCCTATCAGAGTAAGCCACGCCGTCCAGCGCCAGCCCAGCTTGAGAGTCGCCAGATTTCCAATGATAGGCCCAACAGTTGGTCCGCAAAAAGTCGCAACGCTGAAAACAGCCGTGGATATCCCTCGTTCGGCTGGTCTGTTGAGGAAGTCAACGTACATACCCCCAAGAATAGCCAGGCTCGAAAAGCCAGCTAGACCAGAAAGGAACCGAAACGTCAAGAGCAGAGACATGTTCTGCGCGAGGGCACAGGGGAGTTGGCAGATGCAAAAGATGGCATAGCCTAGAAACAGGGGTCTTCGCTTGCCGTAGAGTTCCGACGCGGGACCCCATGCCATCGGACCAAGGGCGAAGCCGATAACGTAGAGGGTTATGCCTAGGAGGGCGGTATCGGGTGAAACGCTGAATCGGGTTTGGATGTGGGGGATTGCAGCTGAGTAGACGCTGCTGCCGAAGGAGACGACAAAGGTTGCGAGAGAGGTACTGACTACGATGGACCATTTTTTGGAGGAGGGCCAGTTGACCGGTCTGTCCTCTTCTTTTAGCCCATCTGGAATTGACGATGGACTTTGAGAGTCATCGAAGGAGATGGAATTCTCAATATCGTTGGTAATTTGACTATGCATGTTGATATGTACGCGAAGCGAGAAGAGTGAACTTGGGAGTTGATGAATAACCGGTCGATATCAATCAAACCATAACCTCCAAGTTAACGTATTTGTACATGACACTTTAAACTAAGTACCAAGATACCCCGGATTTCCCGAGTTACAGCGCTAGGGACTACCCTCTCATGTGGGACCGAGAAATCCCGTAATCTGGGGTCGCAAGCGAGATGTAACCTCGACTCGAGCAAGAGTTTCACTAACTGTCTAGTGCTAGCCCTATGAAAAAGTGCGCCACCTCTCTTTCGTGAATGGAATCACATCTCGGGGAACCTCCGGTCTGTATCTCCGTGATGGGACCGGGTCTGGGAGAAGATCTTGTTAGTTTTTGTGAAATCAAGCATATTCATTGACGTCAGGAGATGGATCCCTTAAGCTCTGATTAACAGGTTAGTGTGATATAAACTGGGATTTTTAGGTTATTGTGGCCATATTTATCTTAGTTGTCATGCAAGTCGATGTTTATGAGGCGAACTACAAGTCATTCGAGACACTTACTCAACTTTTACTAATCTCAGGTGTAGATCTGTGACAAACTAAGATGATACGGGGTTTATGGAAGATGTCCGACTCTCGGCAGATCTGTCCTGGGGATTGAGCACTTCCGCCATGTAAGTGTCCATAAAATGCTCTGAAACTGCCTCTTACGCTTGATATCCTGACCACCCCATGGAACCCAGCACCAATATCACACCCACTCTGATTCTCTAAGATGTCACCGCTACCATACCTCACCAAACCATCATGGATATTCCCCATCCTCGCAGTGGCAGCCACAATACTACACTGCATCAGCCGTCTTTTTATCAAACCCCATTACAATCCCCTCAAGCATCTCCCCTCTCCCAAGCAAGGCTCCCCCCTTCTACGTCTCATACACGAACCCAAAGTTTCCGAGATAGAAAAATGGATGGATGAGCTCCCGCATCGTGGACTCATCAGGTACATGGGAGTCTTCAATCAGGAACGCATCTACGTCGCCTCCCCTGAAGCCGCGCAGGAGTTGCTGTCCTCGAATGCTTACAAGACTATTAAGCCTGAGCTTCAGTGGATTCTGGCGAATAACATCGCTGGCCATGGACTGCTCATACAAGAGGGTGATCAGCATAGACAGGCTCGCAAGAGGTTTAATCCGGTGTTTAGTCCTGCTCAGATGAGGAAGTGGTTTCCTACTATCTGGAACCTGGCCATCGACGCTGTTGACCTACTCCCGCAACACATAAAGAGGGAACCATTCTCCCAACACGGTGTGGTAGGAATCATCGAACTTGTCTCGGCAGCAAGTATCGACATTGTCGGTCGTTTCGGCTTCAGCACCGAGTTCCAGACCCTCCAGAGAGTAACATCAGGTCAGAACACCAAAGGCTCTCCAGATCCAAAGGTTCGCTTTGGCAAAGCCTACATTGAGATGTTCAAGACCACGAAGCGAGGTCAAACTACCCTTCGTGCAGCGTCCCTCATCGGACCCCAGATTGCGCTGAAGCTGCCGCTGCGAGCGGTCAAGACAATCGATAGTATCATGGCCCTGGTTCGTGCTACGGCAGAGGATATAACAACTGACCACGAGCGGAATATTGAGAAATATCTGGGAAGGTCTGATCCTGATATGCTCACACTGCTTATGCAGACTGGGCACTTTTCGCATCAGGACTTGGTTGAGCAAACTGTTCACTTTTTTGCCGCTGCGACTGAGACAGTGGCTGGTTCTACATGCTGGGCTATACACTTACTCTCCCGACACCTCGAGATCCAAGACCGTCTGCGCGCGGAGATCAGGGAGCATATAGTCTCGCCTCGATCAGAAGCTGGCCAGTCTCAACTTCACAGTCTTCAATATCTCAACGCTGTAACTAACGAGGTGCTGCGATACCACTCCATCAACACCCTCCTCTGGCGCGAGCCAACACAAGACATCACTCTTGCAGGAGAGCGAATCCCTAAAGGCACAAAAATTGTTTTTTCGCCGTGGGCGCTCAACCGTGACCCTGCGCACTGGGGGCCTGATGCGCGGGTGTTCAATCCATCGCGATGGCTGGATAATCCTAGCGGTGGAGCGGACCACGCGTACTCGTTTCTGACGTTTGGGGGTGGTCCACGTCGTTGTGTCGGTGAGCAGTATGCCAGAGATCAACTGTTGTGTTTTATTGCAAGTCTTGTTGGGCGGTATAAGTTTACTCCTGTTGATCTGCAGAATGGGTCGGATGAGGGGAGGGAGATTGGTGATGATTTTGCGTTGACGCTGTTTAAGATTCTTTCGGGGTGGAAGTTGAATGTTGAGTTAGTTCCTGGGTGGTGAGCTGGCGGTCTAGGGTCTATGTATTGCAATTATTTCTTCATAGAATCATATATAGACCGTAGCCAAGTTAGAGCCGCTTCACATCTGTATCAGGGTACTTGTCTAGCGCGGGCCGAGACAGTCATAAACCCGTAGTTAGGCTGGGGTGCCAAGGTATTTCCACGGCTCCTCCCGATCCTCGGGGTACGAATAAATATATGACGAACTAGCAGTTTTTTTCAACAGCTAAGGCCCTCTCTCACACAGTTGGCTTAGAGTTGCTGTTTACAAATCTCGTCAAGTTCGCTGAATCAAGCCCTTATGGAGAGCTGTCCACGAGAATTGAGCAATCCAATCTAAAAGAATTCTCACTCCTTATTTTGAAAAGTAATAAAGTTTTCCTATCCAATCTTCACTCCTCCTCCAGCCACATGCATCGTCACTAGCACAATCTATTTATTCGTAAATCCGTCGCCGGCCCGCCTCCCGGATCACCTATCGGCAAAGGCGGGTTATCCAACGAGCTAGTCCAGCCACAAACCCCAGAGAAATTAAAGATTCATTAGTATTGACCAAGCCATTCTTTAGAGGGGTATTGGGAGGCCAATTGAGTTCAAGACGGTCTGCACATGAAACGTGGTGCAATTTATGTAGAATTAAGTTGTGAGGTAAAAGTGTCAAGGTGGTCGAGTCAGGATTTTGGTGAATCTCGACAAGATACTTTTGGCACGTCTGCTGTGGTAAATCGTATTAGTTGGTTGGGAGATAATCAAGTCAATTGCTCAACGAGGCAAAGAGGTTTAGAAACACCTCTGTTGACTACCGATTCGGGCATGTCGATCATACAGAGATAACTGAGTTTACTCCCCAGAATCTTATCGAGTCAAAAGTGATCGATCATCGCAAATCGATCGGATTATTCTCCGCTTTTCCCCGCGATCTAGATTCCCGAGCGGAGATCCATGACTCGCCAATCCCGAAAGCGATCGGCACTTCAAAAATCGTGAGGAATTTGTTTCTTCCACTCGTGAAACAAATGCTGTTCCAAATAACCTTATGTTTGTCAACATTTGAATTTAATCAGAAACGGTTGAGAAATGTCATTCAGGTTTAGTTTTACACGGTTCATCATGTGTACAGCACCCTGAGTGGAACAAATCTACCTCAGATCGAAGTGTCAGCCTTATTCCCTTCCGGGGTCTAGTCATATGCAGCCGCGACTCGTCAAAGCCGCTTAGATCCGATGTGATAGGGGCATTTGTGTTAGCCTGTGATTCATGCAGCTTTAGCTTGTGTAATAAAGATGGAGGTGCTCCCCGCATGTTCGACTGTCCCCCTGTTCTGTTCTGCTTTTGTCAGTTTGTTTGTGAAATATGCCTCAAATTGAAGATAGGCCATCGGTATGTTTCTTTGGTCATCACTGTCGAAACTGGCTGATGTTATTAGTTCATTATTGAGTCGTGGACGCTTTATATCGTCGGCACGCTTATTCTTTCGCGCGTTTTGCAGTTCGTTTCAAGACTGTTGGATGGAGGGGTCTGCAAGGGGATGATTTCTTTTCTGTTCTTGTTCTCATATTCTACGCTGTAGATGCATTTACAGTACATCTCATCTGTAAGACTCCATGACTTACACCTACAACTTCTTCTCTAATTACACAGACTACCTCGGCACCAACATCGAAGCTGGCGTCGCAGCCAAGTCGCATAGTTAGTACTCCCAAACCCCAGCAGAGAATCATAACCTCACAATGGAAAGAATTGACGCAAGATAAAATCCACGAGTACGAAACGGGTTCGAAACTCGAACTTGCAGCTTGGTATGCATACACAGCACTCATTTGGTCTCTCAAGGGAACGATGCTATGTTTCTTTTCGAGAATGACGATTGGGACGTGGCATAACATGTTTGTCAAGACTGTGTCGATCCTGTGCGCTGTATCTTACCTTGCTGTCTTCCTCACCGTAAGCAAGGGTCTCCGTCGAATTTGGATCGAGGGGGAGCTGATCGTCAGTAGATTACCTTTGGATGCTTCCCGACTCAGAATAACTGGCAGTAAGTTCAGATATCGATGTTGATGAGCTAAGCTGACATTATTTTAGGGTTGTGCCCGATCCTGGAGGTTTGTCGGACTGAGCTGCAGGCTTGTTGCTATGTAAACTAACAGCTTTTATAGAGAAATGCTCCTTCAAAATGCAGAACTTCCTCGTAACAACAGTTCTTAACGTTCTGTTCGTCAAGCCCCCTCATTACGTAAACCCTTCTAACTCTCCCAGCACCGACGCTCTCATCCTCGGAATTCCAATGCCTCTCCTCTGGAAACTCCAAGTCCCCATTCGCAAGTCCGTCTGCCTCCTCTTCATTCCCCAAAACCCGATCTAACATCCTTAGAAAACTCATCATCGGTCTCCTCCTCTCGTCAGGAGCCTTCGTCATCGACGCAGCGATAACCCGCGTCGTCCTCACGCTCTCCGCAAACCCATCTGCACTAACAATCAACGCACGGGGTGTTCGAGAAACCATCGTTGGAATTCTCACCGTCAACATTCCCGTTCTTCGACCGATCTTCTCAAAGTCCTTTTGGAATGGCAATGCTCCAAGTGAGATTACTTCATCGTATCGTACGACGACTCAGGGGACGAGGGGCGGTAATAGGACGCTCACGCAGGATATCTCGGGGCCTTATGAACTGACACCGAGTATCAATGAGGGATCGAAGCCGAGTTTTAGAGGGAGCCAGGACTCGATCGTTTCCAAGACTGTGAGGATGGCTGATATTGTGGTCTCCAAGTCGTATCAGGTCAGTCATGATGTGAATACCTATGGTGGGAGCTCATGGTATGGAGATAGAAATGGAGCTTCGAAAGCTTCCGTGCATGCAGAATCTCCAGTTTAAGCTTATAGAAAAGAAAGGAAACAAAAGCCAGCTGGGTTCCTGTCCAACATACTCGGTGTTTCGCCTTATGTTCAGAAGATAAGAGTGCTTAGTACTATCTGCTACAATGTAACTAAGTAACACCTTTCTAGACTGGGATTATATCCAAAACTAGTTCTTTACTTTCATGGAATCAGCCGCAGCCAGAGCAAGAAGAATTCTCCCGCTATCATCCCTTGTTAATAGCTTTGCGTTGCCCTCTTTCAAAAGCAATTCGACAGCCCCCAAATGCCCCCCCTTTTGCAGCATGTCCCAGTGCAGTCATGCCGGTATTATCTTCGACCTCAACTTCGATGTAGGGGTCATCAAATAGGATCCGGATTATCTCTTCATTCCCTTGTTGAGCGGCATGAGACAATGGTGTAAGTCCTTCCTCATCTCGGACATTGAGGTCGGTTTGCTCTAGTGATATCAACAGCCTAACTACATCTGCTTGTCGGTGTATAATGGCCCAGAATAGCACTGTCCTTCCTTTACGATCCTTCATGTTAATGGCCTGTTTGTATTTCAGCAACAGAAATACAATTTGCCATTGACACCGGTAAGCAGCAAGCAGTATTGGGGTATGCCAGAGGTTATCCACCACATTGAGATTCGCTCGACCTGTTCGCAAAATCAGGCGCAACATATTCACGTCCCCCATCAAAACACAGTTATGAGCAGGTGTTCTCCCATACTTGTCCTGGGCGTTGATGTTAACCAGAGGACTATGAAGGAAATACTTTGCCAAGGTTGTGTTGCCGCTCAGACAAGCCAAAGAGAGTGGTGTGCGGCCGTCTCTATTCTTCATGTCAACACTCGCCTTTCCCGTTGCGATTAGAGCGCTAGTAATGGGAGCTGAATGCTCCTGAACAGCGTGATGAAGTGGTGTATATCCATTGTTGTCGGCTATGTTTAGGTCCACTGAATCGGCTTCCAATAACGGAGACACTGCGTCCGAGTCTAGAGTCAAACAAGCCAGTGCGAGAGGCGTAAGCCCACGGCTATTTCGGCTGTTGGTAGGCGCTTTTTCTGTTGCAAGAATCTCCTTGATCATTTCATATGATCTTTTTGTGACAGCTCTATGCAAGATATTTTCGCCTTTATCATCACACATACTGATATCTATCTTCCTCGATTTCAGCAAGACTTTCAGCTTGTCGGCCCACTCCTGGTCTAAACACTCGTTGTCACTCTCAAAGATCGCCATTGCACAATCTTGAACGCTAACGTTATCATCATAAAGATCAAACATCAGTTTAAGAGTCGAGCAAGAATTGTATCGAATAACCCAAGAGTATGCAGGATCTTTCCCATGTACTCTGGCAGCGATGTTCGCCACCCCTGTCCTAAGGATCAACTGAGCAATATCATCCTGTTTCCAACGAGCAGTTTGGTGCAAGGGGGTCAGCCCAGTCAAATCTGGCATGTTAACATCAGCGCGCCCGGTTTGCAGTATTAGTTTTGCTACTTCGAATTGGCCGTATCGGGTAGCGAAGTGAAGGGGTGTCATCCCGGCCCTGTCCCTGATATTAACCTCTGCTTTGTGCTCCAGGAGAAGCTTGATGATTCTGTTATGTCTATAGTTGATAGCCCACATCAGTGGAGTCCAGCCTTCACCATCCTTGAGATTAATGTTTGTTTCTTTAGCTTCCACGAGTACTCTCACCACGTTGATGTGGCCATACTTGGCTGCAGACAATAGAAGCTTTCCCCCTTCCTTATGATTTGGATCTCTAGGAACATTTCCTCGCACAAGCAAAGCTTTTATTCCAGAATTTCCGCTTGTGACCGCGTACGAGGTGGGTGTTCCTCCCAAGACATCGGGCACGTCAACCCACGCGCCAGCTTCGACCAAGCGGTGAACGACTGATAGATGTCCATTCCAGATAGCATAAGTAAGAGGCGTTCGATTTTCTGAATCCAACTCGTTGACATTGGCCCCTCGTCGAAGGACCATTTTCAAGGACCGAGGGCCAATCGATAAGCCACGGATTAGTTGTTCCACAACACCATCGTGGCCGTTACCTGCTGCCCAAGATAACGCCGATTTGTGGTAAGTCTCGTCTTTTCTGTTCAACTGAGAGTATTGAGTCTTGATGATGCGTCTCAGAACTGGTTCAAGTCCAAAGTAAGATGCTGCCATCAAAGTCGTGAACCCTGAAACGAACTGGCCATGCCGACTTAGCCAATAAACTTGGGACCAAGCCAAGAAGCAAGGACCTCGATCGTCACAAATCTCGAGTGCCAAGTTTGTCATCTTCTTCTGATTGCTAACTGATAGCCGGTTGAAATGATTAGCCCAGTGTTTAGCTGCATAGTTGAAAAATGAGTTTCTTGAGGTATGTGTCAAGGCCCTTGAATTGGTACTCTGCCGCCCTTTCGTCGAATGGTCTAATTGAAGACACCAGACGCAGACATAAGTCAGGGTCAAATTAGGATCCTGCACGAGTACTGAGTGCTTCCAGCTTAAACTAGCCGGCTCAGCGTGGTTTATGGAAATCAGAAACTCCTTGACAGTCTGATGAAGAAGGAAGATTCGTGATTCGCTAACGGTGACCAATCCGCAGATGTCCCTAATCTTTTCACGGAAGCGGCCTTCGGGCTCTATTTCGATATCATCAATAGACTGGTGATGCTGCTGAAGCTCGAGGGCAACGATCATTTCGCCCACTGTAAGAGGGCGGTCTGCAGCAATGATGAGATGTAACATTCTGGTTGCCTTTTCTTTGCTAAAGGTTCTGCACAGTATCCTTTCGTAAGCTTCGTTGACGTTTTGCGGGAGATGTGATGTGATGTCGATAACCTTCTCCTTACTAATGTCCAGCTGGCGCTCGATCAAATCCAATGTAAGGTGGGCCATACTTGTCTGAAGCTCTTCATCATTTCAAGTTTGATCTCCAAGTGCTAAAATGATGGTTATGGTCGGGTATTTAAACGCTGTAGCGCCGGAGGAATTGATTGATCAACAAGTTGCGGAGTTGCTACAGGAGTTAGGTACTCCGCCCCATTGGAACTTGCATTTCAACAAAGCCTCCAAGCACCCTTATCTTCGCTTGGTAGCTCAGTTAGACCAACCTCGAAGCCACCAATTGGCGATAGCCTATAGATCATAAGTTAACTAACCACAGAAAACTTTTTACTATGCTTCGTGTTCTTATAACTATAGCCTACCTAGCGCTATACGGTGGTATTATTGACTTCTTTTCTTATTGATCTATAGCAGTACTTGATAGAAGACCCTTAGTCTCGGCCATTTGAAGTTTTCTCCAGCATTGCCTCCGACAAATAATGCTTTTGTTACATTCTAGACATTATTAAGCCTTTACTTTAGTATATATTATTGTATGAATTTAAGGCTCTCCTTCTGATTGAAAACAACTCATAGTCGGTCAATGGATTAAATCGTAAGTTTGGGACACAAGAAATTATTATGATTTACGTAGTGGAACTGTAACCACCACTGGCTTGAGATTTGTCGTCGAGTAATTAAATACAAAAATAAGGTGGAGATATAGCATTGAAATCATGCGAATCAATTTTTCAGTCTATCTAGACGCTAAGCCCTAAAGCTTCCTCAAAATGCAACACTGCTAACTGCTAGGGAGGTGACTGCCGCCTATAAGGCATATCTCCAACTCTCCTCAGCCTATCCTACACATTTCCGGTTCAAACTCAAGATCTATACACGCTCTCCCGCTCCTCAGAGTTTCCAAACCAAAACCCATCTCCTTTCCCATGGTAAGGCTTAGCACAGCCCTTACAGTAAGGACGGTACTCTCGTCCACACTCCGGAGCTGTCTTGGGCAAGAACTCGATAGCAGCCTTCCCACCAAGCGCGGGAATCACCCATTTGTCGCAAGCCTTACGGCAAATGAAACACTCGAGTAGAGTCTCGCAAACTGGGCACTTTCGACACTCTTCGAAGAGAGTGTGTGACGGGTCAGAAATCTTGCGTGGCCAGCATGCAGGACACATGATGTGGCCGCAAGGCGCAACAAGACCGGTGGAGAGTTTGTCCTCGGCGGAGGTGATACACGCTACGTGTAGTTCGTCCCAGCACACGGAACAGATGGCTTTCATGGAGTTGGCGTTCGAATCATCGGCGAGGATGTGCTTCCGGATGTTAGGCCAGAAGTTTTCCGTCACGACATCTACAACCTTGAGGTTAGCACGGTTGACAGGTTTGTAGTTAGGGGTGGGGTTTGTAGAAAGCTCCTTGAGTTTCCGGGCGATGTTTTTAAAGGTATTCATGATGAATATCTAGAGAGACTTTATCGTAATGATGGTGTTGAGGGGTAATTTAGGCAATTTTTGCTGAGAATTGATAGCTCGGTAATGTATGTTAAGTTAGAAGGGGGAATGTGATTATATATGCTGTTTAGTAGCGTTGATTATGGCTTGGGCCTGTTCATTTGTTCAACAAAGATTTTTGATATTTGCTTTTGTACTTGATATTTTTGAGATCACTTCTGTAATTTTATGATATTCTCGAACACACCAAGCAATTGAAAGAGAACACAGTCTATTTCTATGTCTATCTATCTTGAGATCTTTCAGTAACTGTTCAAAATACATTGAATAAAAATGAGTCTTAAGTTCAGTGTGAAAATTCTGCGCTACAAGATGGACATTGAAAAGCGTTCAGTTGAGCTCTATTCTCTGTTCATCATTATCTAAATAATCACTTTTGGCCTGACTCAGACTCTTCATGTACAATACCCCGTTTATCAAAATTCCATTCAGATGTCGGCCTACTGGCAGACTCAATCATACTCTTAGATTCTAGACCAACATCGTTCCACTTGCAGCAGACTCTCTTGTCTCCACACGATAATCACATATTTCCTAAAGAGAACGAGTCAGTAGGCTAAAAAAGGATACCTGGGAGAGTCGAACAAACCTTTCTCTTCGCTCTGAAGTCAGTATACAGTGAGTTCCAAATTATTCTCGCAGTACAATCCTCTTCCCCGCTTGTCGTTTGTGTACAATTTGGTTGTGCCGCAAGTCTATCTTCCTCAGGCATAGGCTTCCAAGGTTTTGGGAGCGGCCAATCCGAAAAGTGAATTAACTTAGCCTCGCTATACGCCGCAGCAGGATCCCAGGTCTCGAGCTCTGAACCAAGGTAGTGAGCATGCTTGTCGTTGCGGAATTCGCCGCTGAGTAGGTCATAGCGGCGGTGAGGAAAGATCAAGGCGCTGTCGCCATAGAGCTGGTTGACAATTTCCATGTCATACTCGCCAGACTTTACTGACTGCACTCTTTTCATAATGCGGGAGAACTCTATCTCCGAGGGCTGAATAAGCATGAGTTGTGATGAGAGGACCTTCTCGGGGGATATCCAGTATGCTCGAGGCATAGCTACAGGTGCATCTGGAAGGAAGAACAGTTCATCCATTGCTTGGAGCAGGAGAGAATCTGAGTCGATGGACAGCACACGATTGTACTTAGTCTGGTTAAATGCTAGAAGCTTGGTGTATGAGTCTGCCCAGGTAGCTGGAAAGCTAATCAGTCATATTCTCTGGTACCATTAGGGTTACTCACCGTCACCTGCCCAGTTGGTCTGAATGGTGATCGGAACAAGCTTGACGTTATACTCGTCGCGCGCTTTGTTCAACAGATAAGCATCACTTGAGTTGACCATTTCTGGCTCAAGCATGCTTTCAGGAACCATCATTACACGATCGGGTCGACTTCCGTGACGCTTCAGAGATTCAAAGAACATAAGTGAGTTACACAAATACTCGCTGTTCGTGACATATTGTGTGTACGCGAAACGCGACCAGTCAATGTCTTTTTCGACATGTGATAGCCATGATGATGTTCTTTGGCCTGTTTGGCTTTGAAGGTAGAAGAAAAAGAGTGTAGTAAGAGCTGCGATAAAAACAACGCGATGGCGCTTTGATGACATGATGAGATGGAAGAGCAGGACGCTGTTGAATCTTTGAGCTAAGGAATGAGATGTTCGAAGGTGGGCTGAAACTGATTGACCCGCAATCAGAGAGATGATAAGGAAAAAGGGACGATGTTTCAAAGAGGGAAGAGTGCCCATATCAAGGAATAAGCTTGAACGGCAACTGATGCTTAAAAGCAGAACGCAAAACAGACGATGAACAGTTCAGGAGACAAAGGAAGAACGCTCAGCACATGCGATTGTTCACGTCGTCAGTCTTGGGCGCTTAGACCCCTGTGATCGTCGATAAGCGCTGTGCTAGCCAATAGCTTCTTGGCAAATGGAGTGGCTGCTCGCTAATCCCCGGCTTCCCCACCATGTTTCAACGCCCAACCATTTGGGGGCGTTAACCGCTGAGACAGGGGTCGGTCATTTTAGGGCGTTTCAGGTGTCTAACCGCGATGGCGAGATTTCCATCTTTTCTTCGCTTTGAGTTACGAGTGTATGGAGTCTATTACTATCGCGAGCTTCATTTATGCTTAACTTTAAGTTATTTCTGCTTTACCATCTTCTCGTCAAGCTTCAATTCAATTTCTTCCTTTAATGCCTCATAACATGATATCTTGTTTACTTGGCACACACTTCTTCTGAAACTGCTCCCTGTGCCTTGATGTTTGTTGGTTGAGCCAACTGGCCAACTCAGTATTTTTAATCATCAGGTGCCACTAACAAGTACCTGTACCTAATTGAGGCACATCACAGTCAAATTTCCAGCGCTTATCCTGTGTGTAAAGGTATAGTCACATATCTGAGCGCCCTGGGCTGAGAATCCCTTATGCATGTTGGTTGTTCTCTTACAAGACCAAGTGGGCCAAGGCAATCTGACCAGCCAGCGATAGGTTGCTCAGCTGGTGACGCCCAAGTCTTGGTTATGGTGTTGGTTGAGCCTTGCAAATTCTAATTATGGTCATGTCCTCGTCCCGCCTGTTTCTTTCTTTCCCTTCTCTTTTCCTGTGACTTTCGTTGCATGTGCTCATGTTCCGTTGCTTTCCATCTTTTTTTTAATTTTATCTTTCGTTCTTTGTTACACCACCTTATTAATCCTTTCGTTAATACCTCCCAAAGGCGGGTCGCTGACCATGGCCTGGAAAGTCACCTTACCAGTGTTTATCTTCATCATTCTCTCATCTGCTGCCCAAATCCCTCGAGAAATCCAATGGACGGACGACACATTTGGACCTGATGGTCCCTGGCGCGGTGTCAGTGTCCAGATTGGAAGCAGTCCCACTTCCATTTCCCTATATCCTGGTGGGACGTGGGAAACATGGCTTATCAGCGATGATTACTGCGAACGAGGAACCTGCTATGCTTCTAAAGCAGGTACTTACGACAAAAGAACCGGCGATCGAACTGGCTTGAATATCCTCGTGGAACTTGATAATTTCATGCAGGGCGTGAATCTCGAAGGCGACACGAGTATTCGATACAGAGACGATATCATGTTTGGCGAGATTAACACTATCAACTCGACTATCGCTTTGCTCGACGCGCAAAAGATTAAATATCCAGGTGGTCAGACCGTTCCCTTCTTTGCGGGTTGTCTGAGCTTGGGCGGTCCAGGATCGGTTAACCAATCTTTTGAACAACCCGATGGAAGACCTGCTACCAATGGTAGTATGCCACCTGGATGGTTTTGGGAGAACGAGTACACACCCTCCAATTCTTATGGCATGCATATCGGGTCCGTCACGCCCTCTGTTGCCGGGTCTTTCTGGTTCGGTGGTTACGACAAGAACCGCGTTATTGGGGAAGTGCTCACGCTCAGCGGAAGTCCGAGAGATGACGGTATCACACTTTGGGACATTGCCATTGAAGGTGTTGGCAACCACTCGCCATTTACTTCCAAATCCAAGAATTTCCTCCTGGCTAAGGGCAACTCCTCTATCACTAGCGGTCTGAAAGTCACTGTGGACGGATGCTCTCCATATCTCACCCTCCCAAAGTCCACTTGCGATAACATCGCCGAACACCTTCCTGTTAACTTCGATTCCGACCTTGGTCTCTATATCTGGGACACAAAATCAGACCAATACGACGAAATTGTTAGCTCTGCGACCGCTCTATCATTCTCATTTATATCAGATACGAACACCGACCCTGTCAAGATCAGAGTTCCTTTTATGCATCTCAACCTCACTCTTTCGGAGCCAATCGTCGATAATCCTATCCCCTACTTCCCATGCCATGTAAACAATAATGGAAGATACGTCCTCGGACGGTCGTTTCTACAAGATGCCTTTATCGGAGCGAACTGGCATCCTGACGCCAACAGCTGGTGGCTGGCCCAAGCACCAGGCCCCAGAGTTCAAGCCACAACGGACGTCACGTCAATAGGTATTAAGGATAAGACAATAAGTAAGGGAGGAAACGACTGGGAAGCTTCATGGAAAGGTGTCTGGGACGATAAGCCGGCGCCATCGCCATCGAGCACTCCAACCAAAGCGGCTAGTCCCTCAGAACAAGATGAAGCTGAATCGAAGCCTTCCATGCCGACTGCCGCAAAGGTCGGGATTGCTGTTGGTGCAGGTGCTGCACTGTGTCTCGTCGCTCTTGGTCTGGGAATCTTTTTCTGGCGACGGCGCCGTAGAGCTCAAGGCCAACAGTCTGAGACTCGACCGACGCTTTATAAAGATAACTCTGATGGCTTTTCGGTAAAGTGGCCTAGTGACCTGCCACCGCAAGAGATGCACGTTCCTAGACATAAGTTGCCCCCATATGAGATGTCAGCAGAAGAGAGGCGGGTATATGAGATGTATGTTCATGAGTCACAGCAGAAGAGGCCATTGACGCAGCGATATGAGTTGGCATAAGTTTGAGCGTGTCTTTAAAGCGGAAACTGTTGTTAATGATTCCTTTGTACGATTAATGATTATATTAGAATAGATAATTACTCAATCAATCCATTGCACGCTAGAACTCGGTCGTCAGACCACGTCGTATGAACCTTGTCGTTTGCGCCGAGCACTTGGTAACACTGGCGCCGTAACGATTGTTCAATTGGGTTTCACAAGAGGCCGGCTTAAACTCATTATACACTGTATCTCTTGTAGTCCGAATGGACTCAGCATTCCTGGCTAAAGAAATGGTCGCGAACTCATAGCATTTTGCACTTTGCAGTCGGAATAGTCAAAGTTAAAACAAGACTAGGGTAGCCAACTTTAGGACCAAGCTTAAACAAGAAGGTACGCGTCGGGATCTTTTGCGAATGGATGATAAGAGCTCATGGTTACAGTTACATCCGCGTTGTTGCAATCAAGTAACATCCCCGCACTTGTTGCGGAGTCAAGACCCAGATCTCACCAAGATCGGCAAACAACAAACAAAACATACGATAACCCCGATTGATTTACAATGGGAGTAAGGAACCTGCACTTTGCATCTTGGGTTTGAGCATAGTGGCATCATGCTGAAGAAATATCTGGTCGCAGGCATTCTGCTTGCTTCGCCTCTGCTGGCTGTAGCACAAGACCTGATCCCCCCGATTCTTGAAAAAGCTGACTCTTTTGTGGAAGAGACTTGGTCTATTGATTCAAGTCCGAATGTTATATACATCGATAAGAAGTTTGCGTCTGTCTCAGACAAAGATGGCCTTACGCTGATTCCACCCACGGCCCAAGAGTTTGCGGCCGCCTTTCAAGATGATCTCGCCAAGATCACAGGATCCAACTGGACGCTGAAGCGTGTCGACTCACTCTCTAACAATGTCAGCGGAATCTCTCTTGGTTCATACACCGGAGAATCTTCCGATCTCACATATGAGAACGGAAAATCAACATCAGAAGGCTACGAGATCATCATCAATTCCAATCGCGTATTCATCGGTGGATCAGGCGCTCGAGGAATGTGGTGGGGAACCAGAACATTTCTTCAACTCCTCCTAGCTGGCAACGGGACAATTACTAGTACACTTGGTCGAGATGCTCCGGCTTATGCTACCAGAGGATACATGCTTGATGCAGGGAGAAAGTGGTATTCTAAGGATTTCCTGAAGGAGCTTTGCAGTTATGCTTCGTTCTTCAAGATGAATGAGTTTCATTATCATCTTAGTGATAACTATCCTCTGAACCGTGGCAAGAATGAGAGTTGGAGGGATGTCTACTCGCATTTTTCACTGTTGCCGGAGGATAAATCGCTGAGGGGTATTCTTCATGGACGCGAGAACGAGACCTTATCGAAAGACGACTTCGCAGACCTTCAGAGCCACTGTGCTTCCAGAGGAGTAACTGTCATTCCGGAGATTGAGGCACCAGGTCATTCTTTGTATCTTACCAAGTGGAAACCCGAGCTTGCCCTGGCCAAGAAGGATTTGCTCAACTTGACGCACCCGGATACCTTACCAACAGTACAGAGTATCTGGGAAGAGTTTCTACCATGGTTCAAGACGAAGGAAGTCCATATTGGTGCTGATGAATACGACACCGAGCTTGCTGATGACTACATCACCTTCGTCAACAAAATGAGCCGCTTCATAAACTCCACAGCCAACAAAAGAAGTCGAATCTGGGGCACACACGAGCCATCGAAACGAAATCAAACCATTGATAAAAACGTCATCATCCAGCACTGGCAATACGGCCAATCCGACCCCGTACAACTCGTCAAAGACGGCTACGACGTCATCAACTCACAAGACTGGTGGGCCTACACAAGTCTCAAAAACGACCACATGCCTATCCTCCCAGCACGTTATCCACAGTTCTTCAACGAGAGTCGTGTTTTCAACTTTGCGGATAAGGAGAAATGGCAGTGGACACCTGCTGATTTCAACCCGGTGAATGCAAGTCTGCAGCTCAAGAGTGATGAAGAGAGGTTGAGGGGTGCGACGTTGGCGGCGTGGAATGATAATGGGCCTGCTGCGAGTACGCAGCTTGAAGCGTATTACTCTATGAGGAGGGGTATTGCGGTGGTGGGAGGGAGGGCGTGGAGTGGGAGTCGTGGACCGAAGTTGGTGGAGGAGACGAGTGATAGTAGCATTGACTTTTACTCTCCTCGGGCTCCGGATCAGAATCTTGATAGGGTGCTATCTCTTGGGGGTAATGGTACCTTGCTATCGTGGACTCGTTCAGACAGTGATGGAAAGAAAGTTCATCTTGGTCACGGCAGCAAGGGGATGAACTACACCCTCACACTCTCCATCACAGGCCCATTCACCCTCTCCGGTCCCGACAATATCCTCTCTCTCGATAAGGGTGGAAACATGGTCTTCACCGCTGACGGATGGGAGTACCCCCTTCGCAAAGTCACTAAAGACGATGCCCTCGGTCTTGACCCCGGGGCTCCAGGCCGTATCTGGGTTAACACTTCATCCACGCACAAACCCGTCAAGGTCTCTACTCCTGCTAACATCACATTGGTGACGGACGTCCTCCATGGAACGGTTGTGTTTATCGACGGTGAAGTGGTAGGGAGATTTGAAGTCTTTGTGTATGGCGGGAGGAATACGCAGTTTAGTTGGAGTCAGATGGCGTTTGTTGCGCCGCTGGATAAGATTGTGGGAGACTTGGAGGGTTTGGAGTTGACTGGGGGTTCGAACTTTACGGAAGTAGGTGGAACTGGTGGAAAAGAGAGTGCTGATGTTCCTCAGGGGAATGATGCTGTTCGGTGTTCCGTTTCTTCAGCGTTCATCACGTTAGGGTTAGTCGTGGGAGGCTTGTTACTCGTATCGTCGTGAAATACCCCACATGTCATGTAGTCCCTATCTTGTTATTATTCATTGAAGCTCCTTGCACTCTTCAAGGTCAGCGAGCTCTTGAAGTAGATAGGCTTATGACGCTGGCAACGGTGCATCTACATCTTTGAATCTTGAATCGACTCTCTCCACATTTTTGGAGGCCAGTAAACAGGTCTACCTCCTCCTACCATGTGCCGTGCCTCAGGCACGTTGCTCCCTACAAAGAACCTGTAGTGATATCGATTTCTTCGAGAACGGCTAGAGCTCATCGCGACGGTCACACCACTTTCCTCCATGGATAGATCATGTGTGAAAGACAGCGAGGGAGATTCACCCCCCCCACCAGATACCCCAGAAATGACCCAGTTTGGCGAGGCTTTTCAGTTGGCCGATGAAGTGTTGGGTGGGGGTATGCTGTATCTTTTCGTCGCGTATGGCTCTGGGGGTTTCCAAAAAGTCATTGAAGACCCTGGACCAGGCCTGGTCTTCCGTCTCGTGGATACAATAGATGGATGCTTCGTAGACTCTATATGTTGGTTTGCTCGGCAGAATACCCTCCGTCGTTGACAGCCTTGTAACTATGAGTCGCTGTCCATTGAAGCTAAGGATCGCGAGTCGTGAGCTCCAGCCCATGAGGAGAGTCATGTCTGCGTCTCGATGAGGCCAAGACCAACAGCCGATATATGCGAGATGCTGTGGCTTCCCTGCAACTCTCGGACTTCTTTATGGACGCATCTTGGCTCATATCAGGCCTCAATGGCATTATAGCATATCTCGGCTTCTGTGCTCGATCTTCCAGGGACTCTGACCACTAACAACGAAGGAACTGGCTGATACTCTGGTCGATATTTCCGGGGCATTTCTCATTTATCACAAGGCAGAGCAGCTGAAGCCAAAAGTAGGGGTTGCAAGTTAATGTCGGGCGCACACTTGTGGATGCTTCGGTGGTCGAGCCCTTGAGAGGAGAAGATGGTGATGTGGAGATTTAAAAAGAGGTCTATCTTGCAGAAGACTTCCGCATCATCACAGAGCAGGCCGAGTGTGCGCAGAGGTAAATGGACTGTGTAGGGGGGCCAGAAAGCCTGGTACTCGCCAGTTCTTCTCCGCCAGCTCATACGCAGAATGTTTTTGGGCTCAACACGCACGGGATGGTGGGCAGTATGCTTCTACAGTATTTGCAACCGACACTTTCTTTTTGCAGAGCATCAACACGCCGCTCGTCCGGTGGCGGTTGTAATAATGTTACTTGAGACGACTTGGACACGCGTATGGACCACAGCGTCAACCCTTTACTCCATACAGAGTACTGTAGATACTTTTTGAGTTGATAAGCTTCTCTTGGAGTCAGATTGGAGAGCCAGACCAACTAGGTCGATGCCAACTTGCACAGCAACAAGACTGTAGCACGCTTTCAGGCCAGTCTCTGAAGATTGTCAACACCCATCGCTCAGGTGCATATTACCCTCGGCGCCTCTTGTACTCAGTCTATGCTTACTACCTCTCATGTTCATCGCAGGTTCGAGATCATCTTGGGAGCCAAGCACATGGTACCTGCTGTACTGACCTTTGTTAGTATGGCACCAGATGCCGACCAGAACCTGGCCGCATCTTTCCTCCAGCGGGCAATAGGCAATGCTGGCTGCCTCAGATTTCCGGTTTGGCGTTTTATAAGCCGTAATGATGAGTTTGAAGGTGAAAACTCCGTGATTGAAGCCTCCCTTAGGCGTGCTGAGCCAATCGAGATGCTCCTTCAGGCCGGGACTGTTATGGGCAGCGACATGGCATCTCTCTGCCTTACCGGTTTCTCATTTATGCAATAGATCCGCCTATGGCCGACCTACTTCTTGAACGCGGCGCGGACGTTCTAGCTCGTATGCCATACAGAAGCACGCTGAATCATGTAGCTACAATATAGCCAAGCTCCTCGTGGACCAGGTGGCGGACCTCGCATCTCCTTCGGCCAAGAGCAAAGTCATGCAACACTCCCTTAGTACCGCGCTTCTTCATATTGAGCCGGGCATCATAGGCGTGAATAGATGGGAACAATTTGACCTGACTACGCTTCGTGCATCATATCATTGCCTCAGTTTTCAGTGTGTTTGCATATCATGGAAGAATTGCTCCGACACACGGGAGTCATCAACGCGACGTCTAAGCCGGCCAACATATTTCATACCGCTACGCAGCTTAGGACACTGCAGGGTACCGTGCCCTACTTACTACTAAGCTCCTACAACTTGGAGCTGATGTAAATGCCCTGGTACTCATCTCGTGATTCGGTCCTCCACACATCCATGCGGAACATGGCGTGTGCTCCGCAAGCGTTAGATGGGGGCCTTTTGGACGTATCGCTACAGAACGGTGCTGATCCTAATGCTCTAGAGACCAATGGGATTTCCGCTCAAGACGTCGTACCAAGTGATGTGAGCGGCACTATGTTCAAGTTCCTTGGCCCCCTCGTCTAGCCAGACAACTTCTCAGCGTTAGAGTTGAACGGTGGCAGGCCATGTCAAGATGGTGCGGCTTCTATACGAATATGGCGTCGGTGTAAACACGCCCATCTCTATCGATGAGAAGACCACATTTTCTTGCGCGATGAGGTTCAAGACTGTCGACGTTGTGCTAGCCCTCCTCCAACACGGCCCTTATCCCCGCCACTATGATCACTATGGCAGAACAACCCTGTACCATCACGTCAGTGTATAACGCTAGGAATTACGGCAGCAGCATCACAGCCATAATTGGGCGGCTGCTGACCGCACGCGGCACTGACTTCAATGCGAAACGCGGCTGTCACGGAAGTCGAGGGACTGTGCTGTATCTAGATAGGTATCATCGCCAGTGCCCAGGATGGGGTTTGTCCTCATCATAAACCACGCCCTGAGCTCTCGGTGTGAATAGGACTCACTCTTCTTCTGTGCGCGTTTGAACAACGCCCTAGGATGAAGATACTGCCTCCTCACAGCGTCGATGTGCTTGTAGAGTGGGCGGGATACACATTATTGAACAAACTGACCCGAAGATATTTGGTCTTGCAAGTCAAGTGTCATAGAGATTGTACCTAACAACTCCTAATTATGGAAATTCATCGCGGACCTGTACACTCTGGTAATACTAGTCATCCAGCAGCGGCAACCTCCTTCACAGCTTTGACTTGGGCTTGGTAACGACTCCGACACACTTGATCTCGATATTGGCGTTCATCGGAAGACTCTTGACAGCAACGCATCTACTACGATCAGTAATCTTAACTAAGCCATCTCCCAGTTGACTTACGTTCTAGCAGGCTTTACATCACCCCAATACTCAGCATACACCTCGTTCATCTTGGCGTAGTACTTCATATCAGACAAATAAATGTTGACCTCAATTACATCATTAAGGCTCGAGCCAGCTTCGTCAAGAATGGCGCCGAGGTTGGAAATAATTTGACGCTAAGATATCTCAATTAGCAATTGAATCTAGTTCTAGAGAGGATATGACGTACTGTGTGAGTCTCGATGTCGCCATCAATCATCTTGCCCGTCTTGGGGTCCATTGCGACGCCACCGGATGTGAAGACGAAGCCATTGGCGATGATGGCCTGGTTCATCAAGCTTTGCGGCACGGCGGGAGCCTTTTTGGTAGAGACTGGTGTTCGTGCCATTTTGGGTGGCTTGTGTTCTGTTGATTGATGGATGGTGAGACGTGAGGGAATGTCGAGATGATGGCGATCGCGGGGTGTAGATCTGTCATCCGAAGACCATGGATATCCGACTGGAGCCGATGTCTTTCACTACGCTATCATAAACGAACGAAATGCAGGTGAGATGCTTTGAGGGTTTATTTGTTATTGAACGGAAATTTTACAAGAATCTTGCATACATTTTATAGAATAGTACCTCACAGATAACGTTGTGATTGTAACACCTACTTCTTAATCGGGCAGTTTTGCACTTGGCCGAGATCGGACTCGCAACCATGAACTTCTGAGACTTCGTCCATTGATAAGAGGTGTGATATCAGTGTATAACTATTTAGTATTCAATGCTGTAAAGGAGAATGTTAGACCTCGCGCACTCTAACACTGGCTAGATACACAATATCGAGGTGATTCAAGCGTCTGTTCTAGGCTCCCACTGCAGTACTTCCTCATCCATAGATATCGACCAACAAGGAGTCAATATCACCATCAGTAACTCCTCGGCAACTCAAGAACCTTCTCACTGATATAGTTCAATATCATCTCCCTACTAACCGGCGCGATCCTCGGAACAAGACACTCCCTAAACCACCTCTCAACATCATACTCAACCGCATACCCCATCCCCCCAAGCGTCAACACCGCCCTCTCACACGCCGCAAACGCAGCTTCAGCAGCCATGTACTTTGCACTATTCGCCGCAACCCCAACCTCATCCTGCCTCACCTCTCCGCTCTCGTCGTACAGCCTCGCAGCGTGATACGTCGCTAGTTTCGCCGCTTCGAGCTTCATGTACGCATCGGCCAGCGGGTGAGCGATTGCTTGGTTCATCCCGATCTGTCGCTTGAACACAACCCGGGTTTTGGCGTAGGATGCTGCTTTGGAGAGGGCTGCGTACCCGAGACCCAGGGCTTCGCCGGCGAGGAGGCAGCGCTCGGCGTTCATACCGTGGAGAATCATTTTGAAACCTTTGTTCTTGGCGCCGATGAGGGATGAGGCGGGGATGGTGTACTTGTCGAAGAATACTTCATTGGCGTCGACTGCCCTGCCGCCCATTTTCTTGATCCGTCGCATCTCGAGACCTGGTTGATCACGGTTGAGATCAATACAGAAGAGGGAGAGCCCTTCGCTTGGCTTTGTGACCTTGTCTAGTGGTGTAGTCCTCGCGAGCAGGATCATCTTCGACGCTACTTGCGCACAGGTTATCCATATCTTCTGACCCGTGACGCTGAATGAACCGTCAGAGTTCTCTTTCGCTGCCGTCTCCAGGCGAAGTGTATCAAGCCCAGCGTTTGGCTCCGTGACTCCAAAGCACACTCTATACTCCCCCGCCACAATCTTTGGGATGGTATCTTCCAACTGCTCCCTCGACCCAAACTTGGCAAGAGGTTGCGTCGCGTAGACATTAGCATGAATGCTCTGCGCGCCCGCCATACCAGCGCCCGATTCAGCGATCGTCTGCATCATCATCGTGGCCTCTGAGATCCCTAAATCTGAGCCCCCCAACGATTCTGGAAGCGCAATACCAAGCCAGCCGGCTTTTGCGAGAGCGGCGTGAAACTCCTTTGGGTCTTGTTCATCTTGGTCATGGGACTGCCAGTATGTGTTAGGGAATTCGGCGCATATCTTGCTGATGGCGTCTCGGACTGTTAGTTGGTTGTCTGAGAAGCCTGTTAGGCTCATTAGATGTCTTGGGGGTGTTGTTGAGAAGGCGTGGCGTTGTGCTGGATGAGATGGGGGTTGGCGGAGGTGAAAAAGGTATCGTGAAGCTAATCGCGACATTTTGAGAGTCGGGCTACGTATCATCCTGGGATCGAGTGTTTGTTTCTTTACCGCTTTGTGATTTCAATGACAGATCGTAGTCCTGGTGAGTTTTAGCTTTCAATGTAGGTTAAATTTGATGATGTTGAAGTGAAGTGTTTCTTGTGTTGAATGATGATGCCGTGCGGAGAGCAGCTTGGGGAAAGGTGCCAAAAATACTCAACCGACAGCCCTCTCAGTAACTACTAAGGTTACCCACGTACTTTTATCAGCTCAGAACCCCTTCGCCAAGCCGGGGGGAGCAAGAGAACTTCTGACATTGAATCAAGGCTCCAGAAGTAATGGTCCAAAGTTCTCCTAAGAATACTATGATAAGGTTGTGGGAGGTTAAAAGAGGCTTCAGCCCCCAGCGCACAAAGGTAATGAACACCAATAAACACATACGGGCAAGATACTCATTACCCTGAGCCTCAGTACAAAGGCCCAAGTTTTCCTGTCTCTACCAGCCAAGGGATCAGTGTCATGAGGTTCAAGACTTTTACTTATTTCCAACATCTAAATACCCTCTATATTACACAAAAATCGCACTTTTCAAGCCTCAATCTTGGACTTAACCCACTTCTCTAGACCGCCCTTGGCGATAATCTCCTGCACATTAGCAGGCAATTCTCCAACCTTCTGCTCCCATTGCTTGCCATCCTTCTCTGTAACAACGACTTTTGACCTCCTCACATCCCAGACAAACTTCCACCCTGTTCGTCGAGTGAGCGGCTTCTCAGTGTCGTTCTTGTACGTCTCGCGGAGGCGCTCGACTAGACGGGGAACCTCGACGCCCATGAGCGCGTTATTGATGCTGTTGCGACTGAAAATGTTGCCGAAGCTGCCCGAAACTACGAGAGGGATCTTCTTGGCGAGGATTGCGGTCGCGGCTTGTTCGCGGGATGAGCCGCAGCCGAAGTTAAAGCCGGTGACGAGGATGTCGCCTGGCTTGGCAATCTTGCCGAACTCAGTGTCGTAGTTCTCCATACAGACTTCAGCCATCTTCTCTGTTGAGATGTTATCCTCGTATGTGTACTTGCCTATCAAGCTGTTAGTTAAGTCAGGGAATGAGGAGGGCTTGACGAACCAGGGTAGATGCCATCAGTGTTGATGTTATCGCTGTCGCAGAAGACAATCTCACCCTCGACCTTCTCAGGGAAGCCAGGGAGGATCTCAGTCAGCGACTCCTCCTCAGACGCAGCAGGGCTTGCTTCCTCAGCAGCACCCTCGGGCTTCTCAGCAGCGGCGATCAAAGCATCAGCCTCATTGATGATCTTATCGAGAGCATCCTCAATGGACAAAGCCTTGTCAGCAACAAAGTCACCGCTTCCCTCACCGATGATGACCTTCTCAACACCCTCGGGCTTCTGGTACCAGCCAGGACCAGCGATCTTGCCCTGAAGAGCACTGGCAGCAACGATCTCAGGGCTGGAGAGGTATGCCTTAGCTGATGTAGAGCCCATGCGGCCCTGAAAAGTGTTAGCTTGAGGTCATAGTTCAATGGTTAAGAGCTTCTTACCTTGAAGTTACGGTTACTGGCACTGATACCGACCTCGCCAGGCTCAAGAAGACCCTTGCCCAGGCCGATACATTGTGCGCAGCCTGAAATCATGGGAATTGCGCCAGCTTCAACCAACACCTGCCAATCTCCAGCCTCCTCAGCAATCTTTTGCTCGGGGATAGATGCCGCGGAAATGTAGAACTCAACACCGGGAGCAACCTTGGCAGGCTTTCCCTCCTTGGCAGCTTCACGGAAGACACGAGCAGCAGCAGCGATATCAGAAGCTCGAGAGTTGGTGCAAGACACGAGGTAAGCCTTGTTCACGGGAATGTTCTCAGCCTCGAGCTTGTTCAAGGGGGTAGCGACCTTGACGGAGTTGGGTCCTGAGACAATGGGTGATAGAGTTGAGAGATTGAGGTAGAGCTCCTTAGCATACTTGGCACCGGGGTCAGCAGACATTCTGTTCTGCTCGAGCTCATCGATTCTCTTGTGGTTGATGCGATCCTTTGATGAGCCGTTGAACATGGCGTTGGTGGTGGCCTTGGCGCGATACCATGAGATGAGCACATCGTCGACAGGAAAGACACCAGCGAGGGCACCCCACTCTGTTGTCATGTTGCTGATGGTCAAGCGCTCATCGACAGTGAGACTCTCACCTCCAGCAAACTCGATGGCGTGGTTCAACACTTGATCATCACGGAAGAGGCCACAGAGAGCAACAATGACATCCTTTCCGGTCACGCCAGGGGGGAGAATGCCAGTGAAGGTGACCTTTGCAACAGGGGGGACCTGCCACCAAGTCTTTCCGGTAGCCCAGATGGCGGCTGCGTCAGTACGAACAACTGCAGTGCCGAGGCATCCTACACCTGCATGTGTGTTAGTAGCCTGAAACGCAACTTTGGCGGAATGTCCTACCTCCATACATATTACTATGGCTATCACTCGCCACAGAAACTGTCTCTGGCCAAGCAAATCCTATCCGTGCGTTAGTATACTGTTTCTCTAAGCGAGCTCAGTCCTTCCATACCCTCTTCGATCATAATCTGGTGACCAATTCCCCTTCCAGGAGGAAAGTTCACAATCCCATGCTTCTCGCCGAATTCACGAATCGAGGCGTACTTTCGAAGGTTGGCTTCTGTTCTGTTACTTACATCGTGATCGGCGGTTAGCACTTTTGAGGTGTTAGTGAAGCTATTCCCGAGTCAAGACTGAACCCATAGTCCGAGGTAGGACCCAGACAACATCTATAGCTCGTAGGGCACAACAACTCACCAAGTTGACGTTTATCATGGATCTGAGAGGCTCCTAAGCCCGCGAATTTCTTCATAATGGCCGCTGAATTGTCGTGACTCATTATTTTTGCCGGCGAAAGGGTGATATAGTCGCCTTGTTTAACTTTCTTGCCAGGAGCGAGGCCTTCGGCGTGTTTTTGGGCGATTTTCTCCACGAGTGTCTGAGGATTCTCCACCACGGGGGCCCGCTGGTACTGGAAAGCCGAATGATTAGGGGTAGATGCAGTCTCGAGTTGGGTATGGAAAGCATATTGGCGTCGGGCACTCGGAGACGTGTAGGCGCGGTGTTGTGTGGCGATGGTGAGGGATCGAGAGCGGGATGTCAAGGTTCGAGATTGGAGCCGCGCAAGCGCGACAGCGTTGAGAGCGACTGCTCTCCTCTATGCGAAAAGTCAGTTAATGTTCTAAAAAGACTAGGAGGAAGTGCTCAAGATATAAAGGGGAGTCTTCAAGGTGTGATAGCGGGGAACCGAGGTCCCATGATGGGACTCAGCAGCGGATATACATACAAAGGCGACCATTGTGAAAGCTCAATCAGATGCCAATAACAAATACCATACAATAAAGTCAATTCTGGATCGTGACGGCGACGTTGTCGGGCGGATGGAAAAGAGTGCGAGTTTTAGGTTGGGGATAGCTTCATGTTTTTTGTTTGCGAAGCCGGCCTCGGAGGATAGGTCATAAAAAAATTCCTGGGGAAATGTGGGCGGAATAATAATGACAATGACGTGATTGGTCGGAGATTGAATACCCTTGTACCCGGAACTTGACCGCCTGCCGAAAGTGGAGCTGGAGGTTTAATGACATCTCAAAGAGCAACTCGAGATGTTGATGTTCAATTGCAAGACATGCCTCTCTTTTGGAGCTGTAAAACAAATGGTGTTCTATCTGGAGAAGATATTATGATGACCTCATCCTAAGTTTATGCCAGGATATCCCACGTTTAGTATCCCTAGTCTTTGGGTATTGGGGACTGATGCCTGTAGCGTCAACTTCACATGCCTCTGTGTAGACTAACCTGTAGCCTTGCGATCAGCAACAATCGGAAAAGTATATCGATAATATTTATAAACAATTTCTTTTTTGTCAAGTCGTGAGTTTTATCCACTTTCTGGAATATCGGCAACTTGACCAATTGGCCGATCACCAGCCGTATTTCTATTCACCTTCCCCTCCAAACTTCACCCCGCATCACTTACACAAGCCATCATGTCTCTCCGCAACCTCAGAGCCACTGCCGCAGACGCAGCATCCCACCTGCTTGAAACCTTCTCCAATAAATCCATCGTCCGCCGTCAATTTCTCGACGCAAACCAACTGCAAAAACTGGCCCTTACACTTAATCGGCCAGTCCTGAACGGTAAAGACGTATCCGAGCAGCCGCCAATTGAAGGCACACCGGTACCAGCGGGTTATCATCTCATATACTTCACACCGAATGGAACAGAATCTGAATTAGGCGCCGATGGAAGTGATACCACTTATAATGCCTCTAAGCCGTTCACGCGGAGGATGTGGGCTGGTGGTAAGATGACCTGGGCTAGTGATGCGTCGCTTCGTGTGGGTGATCAGGTCGAGGAGAAGACGAGGTTGCTGAGTGCGACGCCGAAGAAGAGTCGATCAGCAGGGGAGATGGTCCTTGTAGAGGTCGAGAAGGAGTTTTGGGGGCCCAAGGGTTTGGCATTGGCGGATCGGAGGTCCTGGGTGTTTAGACCCGAGATTGATCCTAGTGCTGTGAGAGAACAGCCCAGAGTGCTTGAGGATGTTGTCCGTGGGCCGTCGATCATCAGAGATTTGGATCTCAAGGGTGAAGGTAAGCTTCGCAGAAGATTGCAGACCGATGTTGGCTAAGAGAACTAGGTGCCCCCGTTAGAGAACTGCGATGGTCACCAGTTGGCCTCTTCAGATTTTCAGCCCTTACCTTCAACGGACATATGATACATTACAACCAAGACTGGACTCGCAACGTTGAAGGCCATCCAGCTGAAGTTGTGCATGGGCCTCTCAACCTCATCAACCTGCTAGATTACTGGCGAGACATTCATGGCAATGGTGGAAGCCCAAGCGGTATCACATACAGAGCTATGTCACCTCTGTATGCCGGCCAGACCTATAACATACGGACCTCGGCTTTACAGGAAGCTGAAGGTGGAAAGGCTTGGGAAGTCCTTGTTGAGAAAGATGGAACAGTTTGTATGAAGAGCGAGATCAAGGGCTAGAGATCCTAAACTTGGGGTAATTAATTATGAGCTTAGGATGGGATGATTAAAAATCTTCTTATCCACATTTCATATTTCATCTTGATCCAGTGACTTTTGTTAGTGTAGAATACTGTCCATACATTGCAGAATAGGGTAAAAATACGACCTTCTTTGTACACATTTCTAGATCTCCTCATCTCAATCACACTATAAACACATGCAGGCGACGTAGTAAACATCTGCATTAGTCCAACTCTACAAAAGCGCCAGCATGCAGAACAATGTTCATTCCTCCGTCTAAACCCAATCGCTTTAGCATACAAATGAACTCTCTACTCTACTCTACGCTACGCTAACACAGCAACTTTTTTAAACAAGGAGCATGCGCGAAGGATCCTCAATGTACTTCTTGACAGTGTTCAAGAAGGTAACAGCCTCTCTGCCGTCAATGAGACGGTGGTCGTAGGTCAAGCTGATGTACATCATCTACCAAAGATCAGTCCTGAACCATGGATTAAAGAGGGGCAAACTTACAGGTCGGATGACGGCCTCGCCCTTGATGGCGACGACTTCTTGGCGGATACCGTTCATGTTGAACACAGCGGCCTGGGGGTAGTTGATAACAGGAGTTCCAAACATGGAACCGAAGATACCGGGGTTGCTGATGGAGAAGCTTCCGCCCTCCATGTCCTCCATAGTAAGCTTGCCATCACGAGCCTGTACCCATTAGCGCCATTCTCATCATCACAATCATCATAAACATACCTTCTTAGCAGCAGAAGCAACCTCCCTCTCCAACTCAACAATGCTCAGCTCATGTGTATTTCTCAACACAGGCGTAACCAAGCCCTTAGGCGCCGAGACAGCAATGCTCACATCAACATAATCGCGATACGTGATGATCTCCTTCTCAGTGTCGATCATAGCATTGATCTGGGGAACCTTTTGCGCAGCGAGTGTAGTAGCTTTTGTGAAAGCGCCCATATAACCGAGACGAACGCCGTGCTCTTCAGCGACTTCTTCCTTGTACTTGGCGCGCCAGGCGATGATGTTGGTCATGTCGACTTCTTGGATGGTTGTTAGAGAGGCGCATGTGTTTTGGGATTGCTTGAGGCGCGCGGCGATGGTCTTGCGCATGCGTGTCATTTTCTCCTGCAGATTCGGTTAGTTATGGGTGATTATGGCTGTCTGTGCGGAATACTTACGACTCGCTCTCCACGGGAGGGGCCGCTTGATGAACCTTGAACAGGAGGGCTGGGCTTAGACTCCTTGGGCGCGGGCTTCGACTCAGCAGGCTTTGAGGGCTTGGGAGCTTCAGCAGGAGCAGCTTGCTTCTCCTCGGCCTTGGGCTGCTCAGCAGGCTTTGACTCTTCCTTCTTAGGCTCCTCCCTAGGTTTTGACTCCTCGCCCTCGCTCTTCTTGACAGACCCAGCGTCCTCACCCGTCACGATACGCGCAAGATCCTGTCCGACAACAACAGTATCGCCCTCCTCAGCAAAGTACTCAGCGATAGCACCAGGCTCGCTAGCATTAACAAGAACATCAATCTTGTCCGTCTCAATACTAGCAATCTCCTCATCCTGCTCAACCGCCTCGCCAATCTTCTTGGACAAGCTGGATAATGTTCCCTCGGTGATGGACTCTGCCATGGGCGGCACGGAGACGATATACGAGCCATTGAAGATGCTGGAGTTGCTGAAGAGTCGTCGTTGGGGATCGCGCTGGCAGAGGATGGCGCTGTGTGCGAGGCTGACGCGGGAGATGGCGACGCGTGATAGGCCGGAGAGGCCTGTTGCGGCCTTCATGCGCATTAATGAAGCCATTGTGAGGGTTTGGGGGGGATTGAAGGTGGAAGAACTGGGGAAGGAAGGGATCGTGGGGAATGGAAAACAAGTTCTGAATTTAGCGGGCCGAGCTTTGAAGGTATCGCACGGACTTGCAGTACCTTTGGAGATGTTTATACGGGCAAAAGGGGATGGTTCAATATTTACAGGCTATAATAGTTAAACTTATTCTACTTAATCATTGATTGTTTCTTAAATTGATTGCGTTGCTGAATTGCAAGTATTAAAGTCAAATAGAATGCTTTGCAATACGTCACTTAGGTGAGGTTCACTTCGACATCAGCAACTTACAAGCACTCACCTTGAACTGCAAAACGTGTGGCCGTCGAAGAGCAAGCAAACTGCTGATATTGAATCACGGGTGCCCAAATAAACTGGTCTAGGGGCTTCCTAAGTTATCCTAAGTTTACTTAAATCTTTTTATCACTTAGCTTAGACGCCCCAAGTTTATTTACTTCCCTTTGATGCTTCGGTGAGCGACCTCCCCGTAAACTTCCCTCCCGCGGAACATGCGGAAGCACCCGGACGGTCGCCGGACATTGAAACCCGACATCATAATTCGCTGAAAACTAACATCACGAGCGGCTCTGCTAACCACTCAGAGGAGGAATATAATAATCGGCGAGCTTGGATCGCTCCATCGGCTTAACAATTGCAACGCCGAAAGCTCACGGCCAGAATGGGTTTGCGAATCATGTAATTCCTCATTTTGGAGGACCGGCTCCGTACTTTGCGGAGCAAGCTGCGGCAATGTTCGGCATAACAACTTCACCTCATGTCATGCCTCAGGCATAAATATCCAATCTCGTGATATTTAACTCCCCAACGCCCATGGCCTGGATGGACCTCTGGCTAATTCCGTGCAAACGAATGCAACTGGAATGCTAACAAGGTTGAGGCTGGCGGGCCGACACCGTTGAGCTGGTGCAGAACCCAAATTCGACCGCGCATGAAGCGACATGCAGATGACACAACATACGATACGATACAATGGACGTTTTGCTTGACAATCAAGGTTCAGTTGGTATTTATGCAGTGGTATCTAACGTAAAAAACGACTCAGCCTCGCTGATATCATATCCAAAACGCCGAGGGTCGCCGCCCTGTTTCATACACTATCGTCACGCCGTTGTACAGAAACAGCCGTCTCTTCGTCAACACGAATCCCCGTCTCACTGCTCTCATAGTCCTTCGCAGATGTGTATTTTCTAAAGGGGTTTGATGTCGTGGTCTGTGTGCCGTGTGACCATTCGCCTATGTCGTATAGATCTGGTGGGTTGTTGGATAGTTCGTGTGTTGAGCTTCCGCCGTCGTTTTCGCCGGATCGCGTCTTGGATACGCTGGCGAGGCGGATGCCGTTGCTGAATGGTGCGCTGAAGGGGGCGCTGATTTGATTCGATTGACCGCCGCTGTTGGAGGTGAGGAATGAGCCTGGGAGGATCTTGCGGGCGACTGGCCGAAGCATGGGGAGACAAGCTGCGAAAAGTCAGTACAGGTCAGAATGGCAGTTGGGTATGGACATACCAGCAATTACGGCAAAATTGCACTCGGCGATTGACCAAGCATAGTGCTGTCCCATTTGTAGCGTCATCTCTTTTGAATCCGACTTGAACTTGAACGACTCAATCAGGACAAAAATGGAGGCCAAACAGGTCATGGCACCAAACGCAAACAACGCAATGACAGCAACCTTCTGGCCCTTTGGTAAATGAAGTTTTCCGACTTCAATAGCGGGCAGAATAAGAATGGCGCAATCGATCAACACGTGCGTCAAAACCGTCGAGAAGAAAAACGTCGATTCGCGAACATGGCATTTTGCGTCCCTCGTTGCTTGGTCTCCATCCCACAAGGCTGTGAGTGGTAGGCATTGCAAGCACACCATGAATAGTCGCAGCAAAAACCACGCCACTGTGACACATGAAAGGACTTGGATGGGGATTCGGATATCGGAAAATTGAAAGAGTCGCCAGTAAAAGGCGAGGATGGCGAATTTCGAGAAGGCGATAGCAAAGGTGTAAGTGAAGCTCGTCGTCCACATATGTATCCACGCCAGTCGGTTTTTATCATGAAACGTAAAGTCGTCTGTAAGTCCAACCTCCATTGGCTTCCCCAGTCCATCCTTGATCCATATCATCCCATTCGTCAACAAGGCCAATGAGCCCAACTTGAGCCATGTCAGAACACATCATATCCACGTGAGAGTTTAACATACCCAGCCAACAACGGCCAAAGCATCGTCAATGCCATATCCAGCTTTCGTGATCTTCCTCGCTATAAGTCGAGCAATAAGAGCCAAGGTCGCAAGAGGAAGAGTTATGGCGGCCGAAGCAATGATATTGGGGGTATCATCCCTCATGATGCATCGTCGGTAGTATTCCTGAGGTAACAAAATGGAGTCCCCCACAAAAAAGCAACAACAACTGAGAAACGGGAACTAGATCAAGAAGAGAGAAATGGTGAAGTATTAAAGAGTCGATGGGGCAAGAAAAGCAGACCACCAGCTTGGTTAAGCATTTTCCCCAGACACCGACTGATGAAAAACCGGACCATGGGTATGGATGGACCCAACGGTTAGGCTTGCGAGGCTTGAAACCATTTTGTTAGGGGGGCAAAGGAAGAAAAAAACGCACTATCAACGCCCCTGGCGCCCCCCACGGGGACAACTGATGCTCGTGATGATATCGACGTTGGGTCTGGGGAGTTTGGGAACTCGACCCATTTTTGAACTCCACTGAAAACACAGCGACAAGCGCTGTGATTAGACAAAGTCAGGTGCTCAATAAGACGATCACCATTTTGACTCTTGTTTTTGGAGAATCGATATGACGATCCCAGTGGCGAAAAACTCTTCACCACCGCGGCAATTGAATGCTCAACTGTGAGGCATTGTTCTACCCTGGTTCATGCTGACTGTGAGCTGCCGCTTCTGGCGCCGTCATGGAACCAGAATGTCACGCATTGATCGCCCGTTGCCTTGTCTTCAGCTCGGCTTCCATGGGTTCCAAGAAGCTTCAAACAACCTACCTATTCAGGCGTAGTTCACCTCGACGCTACAGTGAACCAATGATGATGTGAACTGCAACAAATAACATGGTGTGGCTGCATTTCAATCAGCATCATGCATTTGATAATCATCCTGTAAAAATAACGGCAATGCATGGCTCGCGATAGGGGTCTCGGCCCTTGCTACATGTAGCTTATCTCGAATTATGGATCTGTAAGCTTGGAGATAAAGCCAAGGAAGCTATTCGGACCTTTAGCATCCAGGGCTGCAAATCCGCTAGGGGTTTTAAATATCAACTTGCATATTCCGAGGCTGCCGACCGGTTGGGTATGTACTCGGTAGACAACGAGTTTGTAATCATCAAGAAAAGTTTGACTGAGAATATTTAAGCTACATAAAAATTGGACCGTTGCAGAACTTGTAAACTTAAATGTCTCGGGGAACTTTCTCGGGATGACGCGCGCCGTTGAACTCTGAAGGTGGGATCCCGATCGAGGTCTCTATGCTTACCAACGTTGCAACTCCAAGGATCAAACTATTGAGGGCCATGTTCTGGAGACGGACGAGATGCTCCTTTGATCAGCTCAAGGTCAACGAGTTCCACTGAGCTTATCTACCTAAGTTCCACAGTCGAGACCCTGAAGAGGATCTGCTTCTTGTTCGTTCCAATTCGTTATGGCCGTAAACCCGGTTCACCCCCGGGGATGGCGCCTCACTCTTCAGCCCCATCTTCGGCAGACACTCTGGACTCGGGAAATTAATTTGTTAGTGAATGGCCCAGACATTATTCTCCAAGATCCATCGTTTTGAGGGCAAAGGGCCGGGGAAGAAGCAAAAGGCAGACATGCGCTTTTTGAAAAACTTATTTCGCATTCCTCAAGATGGTCATACAAACCTCTTTATTTTGACTCCTGTCTTTGAAGTCCCGAGCTCAGGCTTGGGGTTCCATCATCTTGGTATATGAATGCCGAAGCCCCCATTCTCGAGCTACGAAAATTGGTATTCCAGTAAACAGCTAGCTTGCAAATTTGTTTTCAGAAAATGGACATATGTCGGGTAATAGTAGTAAAACATGGTAATGCTGGCACGATTCAGCGTCATTACAACTCTCACTGGGAGTATATCAACAGGATTAGGCTGAACTCATCATTATACCAATCTCGAACGTTCTAAAATGACAAAAATGACCAAGTAAACGCCTACGCTATGCATGACCATCGAGAACGTGACACCAATGTCAATGGCTCTTATTCAGCATGCCCATTAATTCCACCCTTGATACCCTCCAGAATTCCAGACCATTGTCCGCCATGTCGAATCTTTGCCACATCAGAGAACTGATCGCACGCAATCTTGTGCATGACAAGCGTGTCCTTTGCCTTCTTATGCGTCTTTCCATTGCCGTGTAGGAGGTACTCCTCGAACCAAGCCTCCTCGGACTTATCAAAGGGCAAAAAGGTGAGTTGGCTGGCCCGCTCAGAAAGCTCGTCGTGTGGACTGTCTAATACAGAGGCGACCAGTTGACGGAAGAGCAACTCGCGGGTATGGGGAGATCGGGTTCGGGAGTAAAATAGCGCTTCTGAGATGTTGGTTTTCGCCATCGCGCCGAAAAGAAGCTCGAGAGCAGCTGAGGTCTTCAATTTGGGCTGCACGGTGTAAAAATATGACAGCGCAATGCTGTAGTCGCCATCCTGAGCAGACTGCACGAGCACGGTCATAATGTTGTCGGCAAAGTCGGGAGTCAGAGAGGGATGTGAAATGTACTCGAGCGCTCGCTGTAAAGTCCTGTCAGTCTTTGGTATCGGCAATCGAAAGCGCAAAGCATACCGAGTATTCCTGGCGATCCAGATACCACAGGCCCTTGATGAAGATTTGATATTTCTTGGGCATACCAGACGCATCCACGAATGCATCAGAGGCGCTCTCGCGGCCTGCTGTTAGGTCGAAATCAAGAAGGATGTAGTAGAAGATCGAG